CATTGACTTATTTAATTAAATTGCAAAGTGATTTAGTTTGGTTTTATAATTTGATTTGAAAAGTAAATATTTGAGTTTGATATTTAAACAAAATCTAGTTTACGAAACTACTGAAATAATCGAAAATTTTCAATTTTTTTTTTTTTGAACTTCCTTCTTTCTTCTCTTAATATAAAAATATTCAATAATAAGGGAATTCAAATCTATGATCAACAATTAAAACCTTTGTTATGAAATTTCCTTCTATCAAACAATGCATTATTGAGATATCATTTGAAAAATTTTTAACATTACATTTGATAAATTATATTAAAATTTCATAACTTTTAAGTTATAAATTATTAATTTTTTTTAAAACTTAAAAATTCATTAATAATAAATATAAACTGAGTACATCGTAACATTCATCCTATAGGAATAAGAAATACAAATATATAAAATTGAAATATTTTGTGTGGAAATATTCTTGATCTTGGCAAAAGATGTTAATCTTCCAGGTAAAAACTGGTTCATTATCAAATAGAATGATAAAAGAAATCTTCCACAATATTGTACGAGCATTGTTTTTTCCAAAAACTTGTTACAACTGACACCCACACAGAAGAATTTAATATACCAAACATTAATGGAAGAACAGGTCACCGCACTACCAAGCTCCATCGGTAAAAGAAACTTACTCAAATTTGAAGAGCTGAAGTCTCTAACCATAAGAAACCAACAATCCATCTTGTCCTTTGAACCGCCCAAGAAATAAAAGATTTACACAAAAACTCCTCAATAAAGAAGAACAACCTCATGAAAAGAGAGAAACTAATAACCCCACTAAGAGGGTACTAAAACAACTCAAGATCTATCATCCAAGAGACAAATTTCAAATTTTATTCTAAATGATCATAGGTTTGAAAGATATTAAAAAGAAAACTAAACAAAATAAAAAAAAAACGATAGAGAAGGACGAAAAGAAACCATCACTGACCAAAGAAGATGGTCGGCGGTGGTTTAAAATAAAATCTAGAAGAATACAAAGAAAAGAGAGCCAAAGAGACAGACGCCTTCGGTTTTTTGTTTGCATAAGTTAATAAATTATTAAATTTAAACATATCTTGAGTAATTCAAATTATTAAAACTTAACCAAGACTTTAGTATTCAAAATGTTACAATTTGGAGTGAGATTGCTAAAACATCAAATTTTTAGGGCTGGGTTGTAAATTAAGACAACTTTATTTTTTTATTTTGAGGAATACTTTTAAGAATTTTTATGTTGTCATGAGATCCACAAGAAAGTGAATTGATAATTGATTTTTTCAACAAGTTATTAACAGTACCATTGTTGCTTTGTTTACTATTAAAAAAAGGAAATTTGTTGAAAATGTTACTTGGAAGTTATTAAAATTTGTTTTTAAAGTGAATTTCATATATACTAGTTATAAGAATTATAAAACATTTAATTTTAAAGACATTAAATAATATCTTTTTTTAAATATTTAACTGTGTTCGGCAACTACTTTTCAAGTAACTTTTAGCAACTAAAATAACTAATTTTACTGATCAAACCCTTAAAACTGTGGTTTTCTAAACAAATAGTTTGGACTATCATGTGCAAGAGATTCTAAATTTTTTAAAGGTCAAAGTAAAAGATAGCTCTTTTAATTTATTGGAGGTCTAACAAGTCGAAAGAATATTATAAGTTGGGTTAGTCTTACTCTTTTGGACAATCTTCATTAAATTTGAGAGTAGGATTTCAACTAAAACTTCCTTTCTCCCTCGTCTTTCATAGAGTATGAGAAAACTAATCTGATCACACATGATTGGCTAAAGACAAGTTGTTTTGACATATCCACCTGTATGCTTAAACTAATTTGAAAATAATTTGATAAGTTATACCAAAGTGCATAAATTTTAACTCTTTTTATTGAATCTTTGAACTTGTAAAATTATATTAATTAAATATTTATTGAATAGTTTGCTATATAAAAATTATTATTGTAAAAGTTATGTTAGTTAATTATTTACATACAAGTTAAAAAACCTAAAAACCTTTTTATTGTTAATGCAAAGAAGTATGCAGTATTACAGTAATGTCAGTGTGCCTTTCCTTTTCTCCTTCGTAATAATTGCATAATTCCAACAAGATGTGGAAGTTTCAGAAGAAGAAATGATGGTTGCTTGGCATTAAACTGTTAGTTCTCACAAATTTAGAAGCTCAGCTTTTGGAAAGAAAGTGAAAGATAAAAAAGTGCCTAGGAATTGCCTATCTCATACAAACAAAAGAAGAACAGTTAGCTCATTGTTGTTATTTTCCTCCTTTTAATATGTTGAAATATAAGTACTTATTTTAAGATAGTGTTCTTAGCTTATCTCTTCTATTGCAGTTGGTAGACATTGAATTTAGGAGGCGAAGGGAAAATGACTTGGAAAGATTTTAACATCTGATTAATATATAAACATTAATCTTAAGAATTAAATTCTTAGATTCTAGTTTGGGAATAGTTGTACCAATGCGTTTCGGATACTAACTGATTTTTGTAATTAAAAATTTGTAGATTTTGGATATAGTTTGTACTTTTTTGTCTATTTGAGAATCTATCCTATGTGGAAGTTCCATATATATTGATGGGAAAGTTCTTTCCATTTAAAGGGAAAGGAAAGTTGCATTAGTATGTGGATGAAAAATTAATAGCATTTTTATTCTTAATAATAAAAGTACCCTGTTGATTAGTTTAGGTAAAAATAAATTTGGAATTTTAATTTTTATAGTTCATTTAAACATATTGTTATGTTATATTTGTTAATTAATGTTTGAATAATATTTGTAGTTCACATTAATTCACTATTAAAAAAATTATTGAATGAGTGCTTATATTTGTATTGTATAATTCTAAAATATCAAGTAAACAAATATACATAAATTATAAATTTTTATAACTTCATTAAACACAATTTTACTACATTCTGAAAAAAAAAAAATTTATAAATAAATATAAGTCACCTTAAAAAAATGATGGAGATTATCTTGGAATCCAGTAATATCTCATGTTGATGATTATTTAGTACAGGATGGTGCTTTAAGTAAGAACAGTTGAATTAAAAATTTTCAAATTTATGCTTCAAATTCGTATATAAATATTACAAATGTTACCAAATAATAGATTTTTTTTTTTTTGAGTGGAAACCAAATAATAGAATTTGGTTTAACTATATATTTCATTTTATGAAATTATTTTTAATAGTAAAATAAATACTAGGAATTTAAAATTTTAAAGAATTTCATACAATTTTGTGAAATTCATTTATATCAAAACAATGTAAACAACAATATTAAACAATATTATTTCAACTTTTATTTTTGCACATATTAATTACAATTTTTTCTTTTTAAAATGATATTTGGTTAAATGATGTCAAATTCATTTTCAGAATTGTGAATGTGCAAAATTTGAACTTTTAGAGTCAAATGAACATATCTATATGAAGTTATGATATATTTATTTTTTCACATTCATCTTTCAACTTGTGATTATTATTTAATTATTTTTAACACCAAAAAGGATAGTTGGACTAAGTTGAACTTAACCAAAAGAATGTCATAGAAGTACCAAGACTTAATGTGCCATTGGGTTAAATCACATCTTGCAATATGTACAATAAATTACATTGGTTTCCTCAGTGCTTTAGCTTTACTCGCTTACCCTTGCTTCTTTATGCTGCTTCAGAAGCTTTGGTACTTGTTCACCTGATATGTACTTCTAACTTTGCATTGTAAATGTTACCAATTATCATATTTGGGTTTTCATTTTTGCAAAACATATGATAATCTAGATGCGATTAAGTATAGATTATAATCATTTATTTGATATAAAACATAGTTATCTTTAATTTGTAATTTAATTTTTCATGGTGTTATACAGTCAATCTAATAATAAAAATGAAGATTTTTGTTTATGTATAATGATATGATAATAGTGATGCACATTGAATAGTGTCTCATCAAAATAAACTATCACAGCAAAACCCTAATAGCAATCACCAAGGTTTGATCTCCTGTTCCCAAACCAGTTCTTGGATTCACTTATTAAGTAGAGACCACCATTCTTGGATCTGAATCCTAACTTCTTCAAAAAAAGAAATCGTGTACAAAGTGGCATGTTTTTCGGACTTTATGTTGTGTTTGGATTTATGTATTTGATTTGAAATCTGTGTGGATTTCATTCAAATCTAAATCCATAAATATTTGACAATCCAAACAACCAAGTCCAAATATTCAAATATATGAATCCAAACATAAAAATCTGAAGAGAGACTTGATCCAATAGTGTAGCTTTGAACAAAGAATAATGAACTAAAGGCATGAAGAAGTAATCTTGAGGTATAAGAAGGAAACCATCCTTGATATTTTATGCTTTTAAAATTAGATAAGCAGCATTAGTTGCAGAAACAGAAATGAGGTACTTATTATGGAATTGTTGGTGTGGTGTAAGTGACAAGAATTCTCTCTGTTCTTCTAGTATTCTTCTTTTTTTTTTTCCTTCTATTTTTTAAAATTCCAAGAGATATATAATATTACCCGCAATTCTGTTTAGAAGGATGGTTTGATAATACATTGCCAATGTTTAAAAGGGATGGGTTGGATCTGCAAATCTGATCCCTTGATTATGAAGTGAAGAATTGACTCCTGGATATTAGGTTATGTTTGTTTTTTATTTATAAGCTCAACATTGTCATCCTTTTCATATAAAAGACATGCAACATTTCATTGTGCATCTATTCAAAATCTCAACACCATTTGACGATGTAGTGTGAATTTAATTGTCTGTGTTTTTCAATAGATGTTATATATATACTATACTAGTGCTTACATCTAAGGAGGTTACAATTTCTCTTGCCAAATTTGAAATTTATATGTGTGAATACTAACACTTCTCGATATATTTATGATTCTTAAGATTTTGATTCAGATAGACTAAGTTCTTTCATTTCACTTTCATTATTTCTTGTAACAGCATGGAAAGGATCCTTGAACGTTATGAGAGATACTCATATGCAGAGAGGCAGCTTGTTGCAACTGACACTGAAACAAATGTAATGGCCAGCAACTTCTTGACAAAATAACTTCCTTTATAAAACATGCCTTTGCTCGCCAAGATTGCACTTGGATATTTTGTTTTTGGAATAAAAATGGTTAATTTGGATTTAGATCACAAATGATAGCATGCTTTTTTTTTTTTTTTTTTTTTTTTTTTTTTTTTTTTTTGGAATAAAATGGTTAATTTGGATTTAGATCCACAAATTATAGCATGCTTTTTTTTTTTTTTTTTTTTTTTTTTTTTTTTTTTTTTTTTTTTTTTTTTTTTTTTTTTTTTTGCATCTTTTCTTGTGTATTTTTGCCAATCGGTGGAAAAATATCAGCAAATGCAATTAATATTTGCAGGGTAGCTGGACTCTGGAACATGCAAAGCTGAAGGCTAGGGTTGAGGTTTTACAAAGAAACCAAAGGCATGGACATAATAAATGATTGCTCCAACTATATGATACATGTAGTAATAAATAAATTTTAAAAAAGGGAAGGAATATTTCAATTTTCAAGTTTATTCTTTTATTTTTACAGGCACTTCATGGGGGAAGATCTTGATTCTTTAAGTCTCAAAGAACTTCAAAATTTGGAGCAACAGATCGATTCTGCTCTTAAGCACATAAGATCAAGAAAGGTAAAAACATGGAACATTTGTAACTATCCTTGGAGATGTAATTTGCTTCGCAGATTTAGAAATATGCAACTGATTGCACATACTTTTCATTTACAGAACCAACAGATGTATGAATCCATTTCAGAACTCCAGAAGAAGGTGAGCTTAAAACCCAATTTTCTTTATTTGGTATCTCCTAGTACTCTTATTAAAAAAGGATCAGCTTGTTGTCTATTTTGAATCTTGAATGTGACTATTAGACCATTAATGTTGGAGCTACCTAAAATTTGTAAACTCGGTACTTTATAGTTGTTCAATTCTCTCCATTAAACCAGTTCTTCGCCTTATTTACAGGATAAGGCATTGCAGGAGCAAAATAACCAGCTTGCAAAGAAGGTGATGTTAAATCTAGTTTTCTTTAAATGTGTAATCTTCCTATCACTTTTGAGGTAATATTTATGATGCTTTGAACGAAAAGCAGATCAAGGAAAAGGAGAAGGCAATGGCTCAACAGACAAATTTGGAGCAGCAACAGAATCAAGCAGTAAATTCATCACCTGTTCTTATACCACAGTCAATGCAGTCCTTCAACTTAAGGTTCTCTCTCTCTCTCTCTCTCTCTCTCTCTGGGGTCAAAAACTCTCTCTACATTGCGTTTACACAGACAGACAGACTGGCACCATCAAAGTTTAAAAGGAGATATATTTAAATAAATATTGTTAAATCCAATATTGTTCTGGTGAGTACTAAACTATAGAGTATATGCAGTAGCAGCTACTCTGCGAGAGGCATTAGAGGTGAAGATGAAACAAGTCAAATCCATCACCGAGCCAATGGAGGACTCCTGCCTGCTTGGATGCTTCCACACCTTAATGAGTAAAAGAGGGGAAGAACTCTTATTTATAGTCTAGCCAAAATTTCAGTTGGTTTGGTCTGATATATATAGCATTTCTATATAAGTTTTTTCAGTGTCTAGTTTATGGTAATGCTTGGATGGCATGAACCATTCACTCTTGTATAGATTATTGTCATATATATATAGATAGGTGTCATATATATATATATATATATATATAATAATATTTATATTATGTTATGTATTTATATGTTATGTATTATTAATGTATAATGTCTAAATCTCTCCATGTATGCAATGCATGGTGGTGTCAACTTCTTGTAATAATACAGGCAAATAAAAATTATAATTTTTGAAATGCTAGGGTTTCTTTTACCTTTCTAAATTGCAAGAATGACATTTTCTTTTAGAAAGTGATGCTATTTTGTAGAAGCCAAGAATGAGATTTTGCACTAATTTCATAAAATCAAATTAATAATTAACAAGGAATGGTTGGATCAATAAAGGTGGATTGCATGCATTTCAGGGGAATTCTACTTGAAAAGTCAGGATTTAAAATTGGAGTTGCCGTTTAACTAAGCTAAAACTGTATTTTTAGTTACGAACAAAGGTTTGGACGAAGCCCAAATTTCAATTTAGATTCCAAAGATATCACTAGAACTGAACTATTTAGACATCAAAAACAGTTCTTCTCTTGTCTGCCTTTCACTAGTCAGTTGTTGATTGGACTTGTAAACTATCAGAGTCTTTATTTCAACACAAGACCTCAAATTCTTGCCTGTTCATAGCCTTGGGCTGGGAGCTGCATTTCAAATTTTTATTTTATGATCGAATCCAAGCTTGGCCCAACTTGATTCGAATTTAGATTTATATTAATTGTATTTTATTTATATTAAACAAATAGTGAAAGGTAATTTAAAAAAAAAAAAAATAGAGAAGAGTAGGTAGTGACTAAATTAACAAAGACAATAACATGAGTTATGACACTACACAATTGGTCACGTCTGCCACAGCTGTCCTGGCTCCTATATGGAATAATGGAACCAGCACAATATTTCTTATTCAAAAATATTATCTTTTATTTTAATAGCCTTTTTTAATCCACAAAATAAGAGATTAATTTTATTTTATAATTGCGCCTATAAAATCTTTTTCATTGAATGGTGCATATGTAGGGATGTGCAAAATCACGAACCATATTGAAAGTCAAACACTCGTTTCGATATCATTTAGTTAGTAGGTATTCAAAGGATATTCGATTCGTCGGATTAGTCGATTTAAATTAAATTTATTATTTAATTTGATTCAGTTTCATAGAAATTCATTAATAACCAAACTAATATTACCAAAAAATTGATCAAAAGCGGTTCAACCTATTGATTTATTTTGAGTTAATTCAATTCAAATGTTAATATTAATTCAGTTCAATCTGTCGTTCAAAAACTATACTTTGCATTTTTTAACGAACCAAACCGAGGGTTTGCTCATCACGCACATTTCCCTTAATCTATGTTTTAAGTCAACAATTACAAGGATTAGTGGGTTCATGCATATCTCAAACTCAAAGACAAATAGGTCAACACTTAACAAACGTGTGGAATCATTTAAGAAAAAAAAAAAAAAAAAGTAATAAGAAAAAAAAAAAAAAAAAGTAAGTGGTGATTAAAAAAAAAAAAAAAAAAAAGTAAGTGGTTGAGTGCCAAATCATGAAGGAATGTATTAGGATGGACCCCATTATCATTTAGGTCCATAGCTTCATCTTCATGGTGAGCACGTTGAAGAAAAAAGAGGCCATCCATTTTGAAAAACTATACATAAAAACAAATCAAACCCAACTCATTAATTAATACTCCTTACCATAAAAATACTTTCATTTCCATTTTTACTCATCCCCAATTATAATCCTATTTTTCATTTTAAAAAAGGAGTATTTTTATTTTTTCCGTATTTGATATTAATCTATTAAAAATGTAATACTATTAATCCATTATTCTAGACACAATTTCAAAGGAGCATTAATTATTTTTCTAACTATACCTTTATTTATATATATCTTCACTTAATTTATTTCTTTGAATGATCGAAGTGAAAGGGTAATTTAATCAACTAATAATTTTTTTAAAATAATTAGAAATTCTACATTGTCAATAATTTTTTTAATTGTTGTGTAATTTAAAATTGTGTAGATGTTAATGAGGTAAAGAAAGGACTACTCGTCAAAATTTAAAACAAATAAAGTAGTAATTATTATTGCCACCTATATAAATTTCAAAATTTAAAATATGAATCATTAATATTAATATAAAGATATATTAGGAAAAAATAAATTAAATAAAATTGTGCCTATTATTATGGAAGGGTAGAAATAATATTAACAAATACTACTATATTCTTCAAAGTCATACTGGCCAACCATTAAATTGACAACTTGTACTTTTTTGTCCTAACAAGTATATATCTACATATTTGATACTTCTCATTTTCCCACCAGAAAGAAAGTTGAGCTTAAAATCTAATTGATGGCATTATCAAGAACAAGATCCTCTAAACTATCTATCAGCAAGTCCCTGGGTCGGATTAGGGTTCGTTCACCATCGATTCGAGGCAAACCCACATCAAAATTCATAGATGATGATCAAAAGATAGAATTTTTGGGCAGTGAAATGGAGAATTTTGGTGATAAAAATGGGAACAAGGTTATGGTTGTGGTTGATTCAAGCCTTGAAGCTAAAGGAGCTCTTGAATGGGCACTTTCTCATACTGTTCAAAGCCAAGATACTATTATTCTTCTGTTTGTTAGCAAGATATCCAAAAAAGGTCAGATTACTCGATGCATTAGCTTACTGTTCTAATAGATATTAATTAATTAGTTAATTATGGTTGGATAGAGATGTTATTTATGCTAATTAATACAGTTCTTGAATAATGCAGGTCCTGATTGCAACTTGAAGGTTAATTTAAGGGCTACTGAACTCCTTCACTCCATGAAAAATGTCTGTCAAAGGAGAAGGCCTGGGGTAAGTGGATAATTCTATGATGCACGAAAAACTCTCAGCAACAAGCGTTACTGCATTTCAGAAATATTTGTTCATTTCGACAATATTTCCAGATGTTTGTTTCTCTCTATAAAATACCATTTTTTTTGTATAAAATTATATTTTAAAAGTTATTTTCATTTCAGCTTTTTTACTTTTGTTACTTTCTATTCCCGTGCAAGTGGATATGCTGTGTAAATAGTTTTTGGGTGATTGTTCTGTCCCAAAATATAAGACGTTTTGAGTATTTTAAGGAGTAATAAATAATGTTTTTTTAATGTTACCCTTGTTTAGATTAGATACAATGAATACTTTCACAGGTAACTATTGATTTTGAGATAAAAGATAATTTGGTTAGATTACCCCTGAGTTTGTTATAATCTAAGAGAATTAATTGCTTCCTTAATTCTTACAAAAATCTCTCATATTTTGAGACAGAGGGAGAAATCATCTCTGATTTCATTGTTTATTTCTTTTTTCTCAATTGAGTTCTATTTGAACTCCAGTCGTATAACTTTTTTCTTGTTTAGATTAACGAGGAGAAAAGATTGAGTCTACTCAATCTTATATACATTTATATTTATGGATGTAATTCATAATTACATTAATGATTTATAAATAAAAAAAAATGTATCAAAATTGAAATTGATTTATCCTTGTTGGCGTACTTAAGAGTATAAGATGACAACAAAGTCAATAAAAGCTATAAAATTCCAAGAAGCACCACCACCACCAATATCGTATATAATTGTGCCGGCAATGGATCAATAATTGAAAGAAAAAGAATTACTTGCATCTACTTTTCACATTACAAAATTTTTATCTTTCCTTATAGGAGTAATTAACTTCTTGTTTCAGGTGCAAATAGAGGTAGCTATACGTGAAGGGAAAGACAAGGGTCCAATAATAGTGGAAGAAGCAAAGCAGCAAAAGGTATCGCTGCTAGTCTTAGGACAAAGAAAACGCTTCTTTATGTGGCGGATACTGAAGCGGTGGGCCGGCAAGAGAAACGGCGGCAGTGGTGGAGAAGCTGTTGAGTACTGCATCCAAAATTCTTCATGCATGACAATTGCTGTGAGAAGAAAGGGCAAAAAGCTTGGAGGCTATTTGATCACTACCAAACGCCATAAAAATTTTTGGCTTTTGGCTTAGATTATGCTTTTTTCTTTGTATAATTTGTATTTTATTTGTATGATTATGGGGAAGAAATGTAATCCAGGTTGCAACATTTGCTGCTTAATTGTCTGCAATGGAATTTGAAATGGAAGAAAAAATTAGTCTTCTTTTCTTTTTAGTTGCCATTATTGAAAATTAAAACCCATCATCAATAAGCAGTTTTCCACTTTATATAAAATATTATTGCTATAGAATTACAAAGGAGAAAAAAAAGAATAATTAAAAATTTATTGATGTTGCACTTTACTGGTAAATGGGTTAGTTATCATGTATTGTTTGATTAATACATTTACATTAATCACTTGTCTTGCCAACAATTGAAAAAAAAAAAAAAGAAAAAATAACTATATTTCATATACAGGATTTTACTTCAATGCATTTCTGTGCGACTCAATAACATAACCATGACTAACTGCAATTCTGTGCAGTTGATCATATCCTGCAAGTACGCCGGCTCCTGCAATGCCAACAAGCATATTTGCAGTGACTCCTCGATACAGTGCTCTGAAACCCTCAATGCGGACTATCTCTTGAAGTGCGTGCATAGAATTACGATACTTCACGGGTTGTCCAGAAGTCAGCATCATTCTACGTCTCAGTGTGTCGAAGGGGTAAGCACAAACACCGGAGAACGTGGTGACAGTCCAACCCAAAAAGAAACTAGCGATGAAATTTCCCTGTAAAAGTTCCGGCATTTTCACTTTGTTAGATCACAATGCAACATTGAAAACTGGGCAAAGGGATATAAAAGGACAAATTCACTCATATATGGACCACGCTTCATGCATATGAACTGAAATTATTACTACTGATCTGGAACCGAGCCCATGATATGATATGACTATGAACATGATATTATTTTTGATACATTTGTATGAATTTTGCCAATAGTTCGAGATCTAATGTTTATAATCAAACTTCATAATGTTTGATATGGACTATCTCTTACGGAGTCCCAGAAATAATGGTCCACAGTCAAAGGAGGTGATGCAAATCATTCTCTCAAAATCTGAAATAGATAAAACCTTTGCCACAACCCTTAGGTGGAGCAGAGGTACTTGCCTCAAAAGGTCCCACCAAAACGATGGGCTTCATGGTGTCATAGATGCCAAAATACATGCCGCGGTACAGGGTAATTCCCATTATTGAAATCCCAAATCCCCGATAGAGACCCCTGATTCCATCACTTCTCAAGGTTTTACTATATACATCTAGTAATCCTTTAAATTGTTGCCGACCATTAATCGGGCACTCTCTTGCATCAGTTCCCAGCCGGGTGCGTGCATAATCCAAATGATATAAAAGCAATGAAGTTGTTGCTCCAGCAGCACTACCTGAAGCCAAGTTTCCAGCGAACCACTTTAAGTAACCATCCTTCTCTTTAGAATGTCCAAAAAGGCTTTTGAAGTAACCTTTGAATGCAAAATTGAAAGCCTATGGACAATCGAGCATCTGTTTCAGTAATTAAATTAGGCAAAATCATAAGATGAAAATGAGACATGATAATAGACAGCTTGGAGAGATAAGCTAGGTAGCAAATTACAGTGGTGAATAATTTAAACTGTCCATTATTGTTCTCTATATTTTCTGTTGAGCATAATATCACACATTTTTGCTATACTTGCTCCTGAAGGGAATGTCTCAATATTCTAGCATAACCAGCAAACAAAATATAAACATAATAAGCAGAGCCCTAGCCTCACTATTTCTATAGGGTGCTAAACAAAATAAGCAGCATATCAAATCCCAGTGCATCTCGAAATCACAGTTCTCAAGCTTAAATAGAACTTCCTGACCAGACCTCATGTTTGGAACATAAAAACGAATCATCAATATAAACTCCCGACCACCACTATCTTCCAAACAACTAGAAGATTTTCTGATAATGCAGTGCTATTCTCAATTTGAAATTTTTTTGTCAAGATCCATTTTCATTCAGGGGCATGATCAAAGTGCTCTTCCAAACAATAGAGCCCTAGCCTCACTATTAACATTGTTATCTGCTCCATTAAAGCAGGTACTGCAGATAAATTTGGTAATGTTGTTAGATAACTGAACTTGAGAAATATGAAAATTATCCCCAAGGAAAGTTGGGGAGAGGAAAGAATGTCTTTCCCCTCTTCAGGTCTATGAATGAAACATATCAAGCAAAAGCTTCTAGCATGCAGCCAGTTCCTTCCCTCCAACACAGGCCTCCTGCCGCACAATTCATTCTGCTGCACACTATCCAGTGGAAACACAACTCTTGTCTCTTCAGTTTGCTATAGTTTCAGTACCAATTGATAACCATAACATACTTATTCCCAATTTATTGGAGTTTCACATGCAATGGCAAAAATCACAAAGCATAGTGCCCAGAATGTGCTTGCTACAATTGGATCAGCTCAAGCTAGAGTGCACAAGTCAATCGAGCCAACTTCAAGTCTTCCTTTTCATGCACTATTAGTTGACATAAAACAACAGTTAAGTCATATATTTTTGATAAAAATTTTAATTAGCAATTGATAATTGATAGAAACACCAATCGGCTGCTAATTCTATCAGTTGCATTTTGAAGTATTTTGCTATTTAGCTACTAGCTGATTTGTATTTATATTATATTTCGACTCTATTAATCTTATAAATTTTTTTTTTTTTTCAAATCAATCTTTTTTATGTGATAGTTTTACTTGTAATTATTCAAATAGCATAGTTTTATTTATAAAATTATTCAAATAGCAAATAACTATTAAATATTATTATAAAAAATTTAATTAATATTGTTTTATGTAACATATTGAAATGGAAAATAATAATTCATCTTAATATATATTATACACACATATATAATATGATAATTTTTGAAAATAGTTGTATACCTTTAACGGTCATTTTATATTTCAATTGCAACTATTACTAAGATTTTACCAAACGACTAGCATTCATCAGCAAACAACTACCAGCCACCTATCAGCCACTGCAAATAAATGCTGATGTATTTAGTCATTTTAATTTTTTAGAAAATCCCAACTCAAGGTAATATCTAAATACTTAAATTTTAAATTCCCTATCCATTTAAAAGAAACTTTTATTAGAAGTGGATATTTATGAATCACTTGATCTAAAAAATAAAACATTATAGATGAGGGTTCAGTTGGTTTTATGCTACTAACATGCCCCTCAGATGAACGCACATTGGACTTCAATGCTTGGACTTGCACAGGCCCAGCAATTATCATGTTCTGAAATTGCCTGTGGACATGATACTTCATCATCAAGTGGAACCAAATGTTAAGAGTACAACAGAAACCAAGCACTAAACTATTTCCATTAACTGTAAAAATTTGCCCAATACTTGTTTTCATACTTAAACAATGGCAGAGACAATCTCCAAAGATGGTTTCGTACTTTAACAATGTTGAAGACAATCTCCAAAGCACAAATAAAAAAGAGACGGGAAAAATATTTATATTTGTAAAAGGAGTAACTTAAAGTCTTAAACAATTAAACTGATAAAAGAAGCAAGTAAAAACATCTCTATATCATGCAACAAAAGTTAACTGCATGTAATTAAGCAATTTATTTACAAAATATTAGCTTTAGGGTCAATAGGAAAGCTGGATAGTATTATCAAGAGCAAGAGAAGAACCTGAGTAGGGAAATATCGTATGATATTGGCCTGGTTACCTCTCCAAAAAGACAATGGACCTTCTTCTCTCAAGACTCTTCTAAAGCAATCACGAATACCCATATAAGGTCTTTTGAGTTGTCCCCTCTTAATCATCTCTCCTTGATTCTGCAACAAAAGTTTCACTCTTTCAATTGGAGCTGCTGCACTCTTTGCTACCGATGCTGCCGCCCCTCCCATCAGAAAATCTGTAGAAAATTTCTCAGACTTCCTAGCTATTTCTATCTGCTCTTTTTCTCTCATCCCTGTAAAATAACAATTAAAGCATATTTTTACACTCGAGTAAAAGTTTTTTAGTAAAAAAAAAAAAAAAATAGATGGAGTGGAGAAAGCATGAAGATTGATGTAGAGCCAAAAAAGGGAAATAAAACACGAAGGAATAAAATGATTTACCCGAAATTTCAGTTTGCCGTCAATAACTCAAAACAACGTAACTTAAAAAACCCATGGAAATACTTATATAGACATCACATGCTGATATATAATTCTAATGGCAAAGCCGAACACCAAAATACCTTATATAACTATCTTCTGAACTTTTCCTAAAATAACTAGTCCTGCAATACCATCTTACTACTACACCAAAATAATAATAACAATAGCTAGTCTTAAGCTGGTGATCCTGTGCAGTTGCAGTGGCATAGTAAAGATATTACAGTCAAACTCAGTCGACAAAGTCAATATTCAAATATTCAAAATCCACTTTATTTATGATATTTTATACTGCAGCAAGAAGTAATAAAACTAAAACATTAAAAGAATAAAAATGCAAAAGCAAGTTGATGTTAAAATGTTCTATACCTATCGAAGAAGCTGGAACATATGAAATCTGCAACATAATCATAATATGAGTTGAAGTAGAGGAGAAAATATGCTTGCTTCAAAATCAGAGAGAGCAGATTTCAATGGCAACTGGCCAATTGATGATGAAAGGGAGAGGGCAAAACTTATACAAAAATTTTGGATGTCAATGTATAAGCAAATTCTCAAGATCAGGCACATTGAAAGGGCAGGTATGATCGTGAATTGGAGGAAAAAAGAGGAAAAGAAAAGAATTTAATTTGCTTTTGCTAGGAACCAAGATGCACTTTTTTCTATCAAACAACAGCATTAAAGGGTACATAAAGAAGCAATCAGTTCTCATCCCAACTTTTCCTCCTGACAAATTTGTACGTTCCAACATTCTTCCTTTTATCAGATATTCTATAGTGAATTAAGCAAGCTATTTTGATTATAAATTAAGGCCAAAAGAAAATCACAATGAAGGATAATTGTGACATTTAACTGGTACTTTGATATTAGAAACTATGCAACCAGTACAACACAGAGACATATATATGTTAAATTTGCCACTTATTGACCTTCATACAACTACACAACATATCAAAAGGGGACTAATGCAAATACAAAAACTCATAGGAATTAGGAACTAACTAAATTTATAGCAAAGGAAAAAGAAATAGATTACATATATATATGAAGCTTGATATAATTATTATGGCTATCCAAAACTATATTTTCAACAATTTATAGCGCAAATTCAAGCTCACAGCTAAAGACCGAATAGGCTAAGCACAAACATGTCAAGCTTGATCTTTTATTAACAGAGATTTTACATAAGCCAAACCGAAGCAAGCTCTTCGCTAAACACGGAAAGTAATACAAAATGTGAAATTCAGTGAACCTCGTATGTGCCTCCAATCCAAATTCCGTTTACTTTTCGAGAATACTCGGGAAAAGAAAGCAAAATAACATTTATCCGATATGAAGACGATGAAATGAGTGTATGTTTATCTACAAAGGAAAACAGAAATGAAAAAGGAGAAGAATGAGAGATGAAAAAACCTGCAGATTTCTGGATTTTCCGAGGGATTAGGGCGGCAAATATATGTTATTCGAGTTCTAGCAGAATTAAGCGAGAGATGTGGTGGTTGCAGATTGTTGGGAGTTCGGGCTGGCTGCTCAAGAGGCTGAAGTTTTTTTCTTTTTCTTTTCTTTTTTTTATTTATTTCGTTTTAAAAATTTTTTATAATGAAGTTAAATCTAGATCACACGCCACAAATTTTTTATAATAGAACATACACCCCGCTATTTCTATGAATTTAGATTCCTTGCCCCCAATTTCTAGTGCTGTGCTTATAGCTCCAGTTTATCTTGTAATTTTTTGTTTTTATAACAGTCTCCTTGAATTTTAGATTTCTTTTTTTTTTTTTTAATATCAAATGTTTTAAGAGGTTTTTTTTTTTTTTTTTTTTTTTAGATTTCTTGCCCCCAATTTCTGTGCTGTGCTTATAGCTTCCAGTTTAATCTTGTAATTTTTTTGTTTTTATAAGTCTCCTTGAAATTTTAGATTTCTTTTTTTTTTTTTTTAAAAATATATATCCATGATTTTTACAGAGGTTTTTTTTTTTTTTTTTTTTTTTTTTTTGATTTTTTTTTTTTTTTTTTTTTGAGTATCAGGGGAGGCGATTTAAATTTGGACCTATTGCTAGGTCTTATATGCATTTACTATCAGATTATGATTCGGTGTGCATTTTAAGAAGCTTTTTGAATAAATTTGAATCCTTAATTTATTTTTTATTTCAAGTTCAAACATTGATTGATGTTAGACAAATTAACAATTTTACATATGGAGTTTAGACCATTGCGTCACAACTTCACATTTTTTTTATGTCAATAAAGTATAGTAGAAAATTTTTAATTTATACAGTAAATTAAACTCGAGACAATAGGGTCTTCAAAATATTTGAACTTAACTTGAAAAAATTAGGTAAAAAATCTGATAAAAAAACAATATCGACCGGTAACGGATTCGGTCCAAATAATTAGGGCCCAAAAAATAATTTTACTAATTATAAGATAAAATTTTATCTGATAAAAATTTTATCTTATAAATAGTAAAATTATTTTTAATCTAGGGGCTACAACCCCTCTCAAATTCCTCGGGTTCGTCGTTGACCTCGTCAAAACAAAATAAGAATTTGATTGCGTCCTCCTCTGCTTGATAAAATTGAAATCATTTTAAACCAAATAAAATAATAACAAATCAAATTTATTAAAGCGATCCCACTATTGCGATGGTCGTTTATCCTTTTGAGAGAATCAATTAGAATTTGATTCAACAATGAAAAATAAAGAAGATTTATCATAATAACTAAACAACCAATAACTTTAAATATTACAAATAAGTCAGCTTCATTAGAATCTAAGATTATCATTGATAATTAAAAACAAACATAATCAAACTAAGAGAGTTTCTCATACACCGCCAGTTAGCCCTAGTTTTCTTTTTACAATCCTATTAACATTAAATTTTAACGCGCAATCCGGTGGACATCGTTAAAAATGGATTTAAATAAGTTTCTTTCAACATCGCTAAACATCATGTTCTTACAAATGACAATCTTTTAGTTAGATTAAAGATAACTAACGGAATGCCTCTCTCTTTTTCTTTCACAAGCAAAGATAGATTTTTAACAGCAAAATTGTTGAAACACCAAATAATTATGTCTTTACAATTTTGGAAACCATAATCCCGGAATGTTTTTGTCTCCAATTGATTCCAAGAATCCTCTTAGCTCTCGTGTCCAAACTAGTTCCTATTTCTATGATCCATTCACAAAATTACCACCAATCACAGACTTTTGATCTTTTGTTTAAAGAAAGCCGAAACAGGGGAGGGAGAACAAATCAATTTGCATGAATCATTTGATATATTATAATTAATAAAAGAAATGTCTTTATCTTAAACAAGCTTTACCTAACAAAAGGGTCCAATTTTGTGTTTTAAAGAAAAAGAATGTTTTGTTTCAATCACCAGATTGATTTCTTAACTTTTCTACCTACCACTTCATTCCTGGATTATTTTCTTCAAATAATAATTTAATAATAAATCATTCTTTTAATCATAAAATAAAAATATTCCAAGTCTTACAAAGAGAGTTATTGTTTCTCGCTAAATTATAAATATTAAATGCTTTCGAATTCATACCCATGGAAATCAATTTTCATATCTAGCTCTAATATGGGATTTTTTTTTATGTAGTTTGAAATGTAAAAGAAAATAAATCTAATAAAAAATTAAAAATGAAAATACTTAAAAGAAATTAATCAGCTAAATAAATTAAAGGAGCATTTTCTAAGTTGAAACTAATGAAATTTACAAAATTTTATAATTTTGCTTACAATTTATAATTGACATATTCAAAAGATAAAAAAAAGTAATTTATAATTTTATAATCCTTACTTATAAATTTTATTTCATAGGTGTGCCCATTGAATAAAATTTTTAGTGTACATATATATATGATCTAAGAATATATCCTAGTTTGAATCTTTTGTTGCTTATAATACTCAAAAAAAAAAAAAAATTATGTTTGGGAATCTTTGGTTGCTTTATAAATACTCAAAAAAAAAAAAAAAAAAACAAAAAAAAAAAAAAAATTATGCATGTCTATAAAAATATGAATGAGTGAGGAAATTTTAGGATTGCGTGAAACGCCCCTATTAAGAATTTTATTTTGATTGGTTGAAAAAATACAAGTAATTTAATTTTGGTCATATTAATTTTCTATTTAAATATAAATTTTATTGAATAAAATCAAAAATTATGTTATATACTATATAAGGTATATATAAAATATTGTAATACTATTTTTTTTCATCTTTTTTATAACTAGAATCGTAGTTTTGAACCGAAACCATACAATATAATATTAAATTAAGATATATAATATATATATTAAACATAGTAATATATGTAATATTATATGGCAATAGAGAAAGACAAATAATATTCAATATATTAATCATTTTCGGTTTCTAATTGTCGATTATTGTCTACTTATAAATTCTTTGACATTTTACTTTTTTTTTTTACTTCTTTTCTCTGAGATATATAAGTAAGTTTTAATCTGCTTGACATTTTACTTCTTTTTTTTAAGCAATATTTTATTTCTTAATTACTTATTTATCAAAATTAATTATTTTATTCTTGTATTTTTTAGATAAAATAGTTTATTTTCAAAATGAGAAAAAAGTAATTAATTTTGACAAAGGCTTTTAACAGAAAAAGTACAAAAGCTATACAGTATACATAAAATCATTATTTTTAAAAATTCATGAATATGCATATGTAAAGTACACTCTTCTCTTTCAATAAAGTGAATTATTACATAGCAAATAAGAAATCAATTAACAAACAATTTAAAAATTTCTAATTTATATAACAATAATAATAATTTTGTATACTTGCAATTACAATATGCATATGAATTGTCAATTATTTATTTATAATCATGCATGGCAAATACATGTGCATTATTCTAATATTTTGTTTCAAAATTGAACCTAACTGTTCTTTTAATTAGAATTAATATCCAAATATTTAATTCAAATTTAAATAATATAACATAAAAAATTGCAAGAAAAAGGAATGATAATGTACTTATTACAAGAGATTATAAAAACAAAATCATCATTGTATACTAAGGTATTGCCTAGTGGTAAGTGTATATACAGTCTGACCCAAACATTGAAAAAAAAATCACCATTAAAATTTGATAATAGACTTTTTTTTTTTTTTTTAGACTTTTTTTTTTTTTTTTTGAGTCGGATTATAGACTTAATTTAATCCAATATGCCTTTTTCTTTTTAATTTTTTTTTTCAATATATTTACTTTATTCTATAACAAATTTAATTTTTTTTTTAAACATAAGTTCTCGTAGATTAAGCTAAAAATCCAGTATTATCTAATTTTTTTTTTTTTTTTTGAAGTCGATTATAGACTTAATTTAATCCAATATGCCTTTTTCTTTAATATTTTTTTTCATATATTTACTTTATTCTCATACAAATTTAATTTTTTTTTAACATAAGTTCTCGTAGATTAACTAAAATCCAGTATTATCTAAAATAAAAAATGTTAAATTTTCTAAAGATTGAATTCGATATTCAAAATGGCTAAAATCTAGTTTTTTTTCCTCAGCTCCACTCCATACCAACTCCAATATTTCAATTTTTATTTTCATTTTTTCTGAATTCAGATATTATTCATAAAACTAAAAATTAAATATCATGCATGCTGTGTTGGAAGAATTAAAAAAAGAAATAGTATTTATATATATTAAAAGTGAAATTCTTTATATAGATTCTCCATTCAATAGTTTTCTTTTCATTATGTATTTTTACAGATTTTGGCTTTGGCTAATCAAATCACAGTATCACATGGTTTCATGTGCAGGTCAATTCCTTTTTCTGTTGTTCCTTTCCCTGTCCCTAAACCTTCACTCCACAGCATCATATACCCCCATCCCAAAACAAAAAGAACCCATCTTTGGTTGAAAATTGAAATCTTTACAGTCACTTCTGTTTACTGTTCAAACCTAGATCACCGTCACATTTGTTTGTTATCTCCTATATTTTGGCTACAGCTCTATCGTTTCTCTTTTCTTGATCATTGGTTCTTGATTATTATTGTTATTATCACTATTCCTTGCTTCTTTCTTTTCCAATTCTTGATTCTCTGAAACTATTTAGATATTATTTGTGACAGTGGGATGAGTTTGTCGTCCATATTATAGCTTTTGGCGTCGTATTTATTGATTCTTGATCGCATTTTTTTCTTGAATATGTTTGGATTTGAAATCTTGATTCTTTAGTCGTGAATTGTGGAGAGCAAATCGAGGAAAGATGCGGCGGCGGGCGGCCGACTACCGGCGCCCGGTTAGAAGGAGGTTATCGCTGTGGATCTGGGCACTTCTTGGCATGTTTTTGATTGCTGGGCTAATTTTATTTGTGTTTCATCACCATCACCATGAAGATCAGATTAAGCAGCCTATTCAGGTAAAGATTACTGAGAATTCTTCTCTTGTATTTAAATTTTAAGATTCTGTTTTTATTTGACTTGGATTTATGCGTGTTTAATTTGATACGTTATTGAGTAATTTTGAGAATACCCATTTGATCTTGCGGCCTAGGAGTTCATATACTAATTATAAGACTTGATTAATATCAAAATTTAGTAATTTCTGTGCTTTATTTTTTATATAACTTCAAGATTTATCATTCCTATTTAAGTTAAGATTGACATCTGCATATTAACATGTAAGCTGACTAGCCGTAATTAGGCTTTGTTGTATATGTATTTATATTTTAAATTATTTAATGTACAATCATTATTACATGACTTTGTTGTGGATTTCTTTCTGGTTGACTTAGTTAACTTACAGTGAGCAAGGTCTTTTTCATGGTATTCATTCCAATATTAGTTTTTAGGAATGCAAGGTCTTTTCCAAGCCATGGTAGTCGAGAGGCATGTACGTTATGAAGTTCTATGTTTTAGTGTTCGGTACAGATAATGAGATTCAAAATATTGGTGGGGAGGGCTAATATTACAGGTGTGATGTCTTTATCTAACTGGACGATTGCAATGCTATACTATACTAAACATGTCCCAATTTTGCACAGTTTAAGAGTTCAAGTTCAAACTCTTGCCTCTTTCTTTCTCTCTCTCTCTCTCTCTCTCTCTCTCTCTCTCTGTCTTCCCTTATACCAAGAAAATACTTCAAATTGGGGATTATTTCAGTACCTATACCAATTCAATTACTTCCATTAAATCCTTCTTATTAATCATTAGATGGCATTTTATAGGGGTAATGTCTTTTTGTAATATTTATAATCAGGTAACCTTAATTATCTGAAATGTCAATTAATTGATGGACCTCTTTACCACCAAATATATCCAAAATAGTGAACTTTTTGTGCCATTTTTTTATAATAACAAAGCCCATTTTTGAATTTTCTACTAAGCACCATAATTTTGGAGATCAAATTAGTACTAACTACTAAATGATATGCTTTTGAGGAATTTCGATTTCCTTAACATCACCACTATTTCAGTTGATAGGATTGCAATATATAAGGATCTGGTCTTCTGGTAGCGTTACCATACATGGAGAATGGAGGACCATTTCATTCTTTTTTTCTCAGAATAGTAGTTGAAGTAGACGTAAAGGGAAGGATTCAATTTGCAAAGATAAAAGAGTGTGAATCTTATGCTATATACACGATTCTTTTTGGAACTAGCTTCTTTTTCATTTTCTTTAGCAGAGGATACAAACCTGTATCCCTTGATTTGTACATCTAATCACATTGCGTATTCTGGATTACTATAATAGATAAAAGTCATGGGATAAATACATGGTTTACCTTGCTTTTGTTTTAGGAGACTAAGATTCAAAAACCTTTTTAGTTTATTGAAGCTTTCTGCTTTTGACAGAACAGAGCTCGAAAATAATCAAGTTTATAAGGCTCAAGCATTAGAATTATGGTCTAGATTTCATGTGAGCTTGTTTGGGCATTATTGAGTATTTCATATTCTTTGACGTCTTATGTTTGTGCTTATTTAAGTTATTAGCTGCTGGTTCAGAATTAATGATATTAGGTTTCAAGGGAAAAATAGTAATTTATACTGATGCTTGAATGGCCAGAAGTTTTGAGGGTTTCTTTTACATTGAGCCCTCATTGGTTTGAAAAACATTAAACCTTTCACTGTTATGTGGAAATCCGAATCCTTGTAAAGTGCTGGCTAGCAGGCCTGTTGATGAGCATGGCAACCTGCTGGCTGACCTAGCCTAATTTAGGCAATTACAGATCCGAACTTTCTTCTATATTTAAGTGCAGAAGAAATCTGCCATCACTTTCTCTTGTATTGCACGTCGTCGTAGATTCTCAAACATGGACAGTTGCTTCTTTCATCTGGAAAACCTACATTTTTCTAAACCATCCATTTCATTGTCCAACATCTTTTTGTTGTTTCAGGTCTGGCTATTTTAACCCAAAGCCAAATGAAAACACTATAAACCATGATTTTTGTTTTCTGTCCTTTGCCAACAGTTTCATTTTCTGCCACATAAAAAAAGCTGGTAAGATTTGTGAGGACACATCATGTTTAACCTGTCTACCTGACCCTTGTAAAGCCCCGAAGGAAGGGATGGTTATGTACTCTATTACCAACTACTACTGTGAAGAAATAAAACAAACAAACTGTAATTCAATGGGTTTATTTTCTGATTCAGAAAAAGCATTTTGCTATAAGTATAATATTAATGAGCATTATTTATGCAAAAATGTCCACACTTGCTCTTTTGTTTATGTACCATTGCCCTTTGATTATATACAGCCATCCTAATTGGAAGACGGTAATGCACAATCCTTAGGCTCATAATGAGGGCTATAAGTCAAAGTAGGGAATTGAATCTGCATCTTTTCCTCTAATATTGGCATTTCTGCTGTGTTGGGCAACTGAAGCTACTGGAGTTTCTTTCCTCCAATTTCTTTACTATGACGATGCAAGTATTGTTCTCCTGCATGGTTTATTTTTCCTCCTTATCACATGATTTTAGAAGACTTTGAATAATAGTAATATATGCATCAGGCCAAATATTTAAATGCTTCAGTATATGGTTTATATGCACTTTCTGCTTGAAGTTTTGTTTTCTCTGACTGATGGGCACTAAGAGGTTTCTTCTCATGCTGTGTAGTTGGTTATTTAAGTTCTCTTGACAGTTCAATGCTTTTTGAATATTCATGAGGGCTATAGAAAATGCTCCTATATGTTATCTAGTGGGACAGTTGCACAGAACTTTGACCGTGATATGCATTGCTTAAAATCAATATGGAAATCTTAAATTTCATTATCCAGCTCATGCAATTGTCTGAATTTTTATTCACTCTACCATAGGCTAAGCCCAAAGTTATGTAGTTAGGTAATCCATTGTCCAGCGAATATCTTTACAGGCCATATTATGGCATAAGCATTGCTTAACCTTCGTATGCTACTCTGTTACAAAGTTTCATTTTATTGGTATAACTATGCATTTTGACTTCATTAGCTGATGTAGTCGATTTTTTGACATAATGTAAAGTTTTAATTTGCTTCTGGTAGTTTAATTTACATTAAAATGGACTCACCCAGGCCTTCCTTTTCAGGAGAATCATGCAAGAGCTGAACCAGTCAACCATGAAGGTTTGAATTTCACCAAGGAACTATTGAGTGCTACCTCATTTTCAAGGCAGTTGGCTGAGCAAATGATGCTTGCCAAGGCTTATGTCATTATTGCAAAGGAGCATAATAACCTCTACCTTGCATGGGAGCTGAGCAAAAAGATCAGAAGTTGCCAACTCTTGCTTTCAAAAGCTGCTATGAGAGGGGAGCCCATAACACTAGAAGAAGCAGAGCCAATAATCAGTGGCCTGTCATATCTAATCTTCAAGGCACAAGATGCCCATTATGATGTAGCAACTACCATAATGACAATGAAATCTCATATTCAAGCCCTTGAAGAACGTGCAAATGCAGCAACAGTTCAGAGCGCAGTATTTGGACAGCTGGCGGCTGAAGCTCTACCGAAGAGCCTCCATTGCCTAAAGGTAAAGCTTACAACTGATTGGCTTAAGAAGCTGCCCCTTCAAGACCTTGCAGAGGAGAAAAGAAACTCTCAAAGAGTTGTGGATAATAATCTCTATCACTTCTGCATATTTTCAGACAATATGCTGGCTACATCAGTAGTCATCAACTCCTCGATCTGTAATGCTGATCACCCAAAACAGCTCGTCTTCCACATAGTTACAAATGAAATCAGCTATGGAGCTATGCAGGCTTGGTTCCTTGGTAACGACTTCAAAGGGGCAACCATAGAAGTTCAGAATGTAGAAGAGTTCTCTTGGTTGAATGCTTCTTATGCTCCTGTTGTCAAACAGCTTCTGGATGAAGATTCCCGGAGCTATTATTTTTCAGGTTATTCAGATTTGAAGACTGATCCAAAACTGCGAAATCCTAAGTACCTGTCTTTACTGAATCATCTTCGTTTTTACATCCCTGAGATCTATCCACAATTGGAAAAGATAGTTTTTCTTGATGATGATGTTGTTGTGCAGAAGGATCTCACACAACTTTTTTCATTGGATTTGCATGGAAATGTCAATGGAGCTGTCGAAACTTGTCTTGAAGCATACCATCGTTATTACAAGTATCTCAATTTCTCAAACCCAATTATCAGCTCAAAGTTTGACCCACAGGCATGTGGATGGGCATTTGGTATGAATGTTTTTGATTTGGTTGCGTGGAGGAAAGCAAATGTGACTGCACATTATCATTTCTGGCAGGAGCAGAATGCTGATCAAACTCTTTGGAAGCTGGGGACACTTCCTCCCGCTCTTCTAGCATTTTATGGACTGACAGAGCCACTTGATCGAAGATGGCATGTATTAGGCTTGGGATATGATATGAACATTGACAATCGTCTGATTGAGAGTGCTGCAGTTATTCACTTTAATGGTAACATGAAGCCATGGCTGAAATTGGCTATTGGCAGATACAAGCCTCTGTGGGAAAGGTACATAAACCAAAGTCACCCTTATTACCAAGATTGTATTGCAAGTTGAAATGTGCTACTTCTTGATTATCGATAATTCATGCCATCTTCAATATTTTTACACCCTCAAATGGTGAATCGTATTATTGTAGTCAGAAGTAGAAAATTTTGACTTAATTAGGAGTTTTCTTTTGCTTTTATTTCCCCCTTTTTTCTTCATAGTTCCTATAATGAAAAAGAACAGATTTTATACATTAGGGAATTTAAATTTACTAGGTGAAGAGTTGTGAAGAAATCATTTTTGATTGATGGGGTTTCCTTCCCCTTCTGCAAACTGTAGAATTATTTGTTCCTTAGCAATTTTTGTAATAAGTTTTTCAGCTTTTATGGATCATAATGTAACTGGAAGCAGACAATTTTGTCCTGCCCGTTTACTCTTTAGACATCAAACCGGATTCTGAATATTACCTATTGCTATGAGTTGTTAAATTGCAATTTTGCAGTCACTTCTATTTGCTACAAGTTAACCGTACTTTTTTAAATGAAAAAATTTTTTTCTTTCAATCACAAGCCAATATTTTCATCCAGGAAAAGTTTATACAATCCAGATCTTCCCAACTTTTTCATACACGAGTGCTTCTGTAACAATTACAAATCCTATATAAGTGTAATAAGCCGAGCTCAGATTCTAATCTTTGACTCGTAGGTCTGCAGTTTCCTAATCAACATTCCAACACTGCCTGAGTTTTATCCTAACCACCTATCTTAAAGAAACACATTACTTTTGCTGATCTATATGCGCGTTGAAAGCTTTGTGAACCTATAACATAAAAACAAAAAACATGGTGAAAGTACAACATAAAAGATGCCATTCATTTGTCTTTTCTGCTGTGGAGCTTATTATACAGAAGAAGACATTCTATTAACATAATTAGCAGGTAAACTATGAAAACCAAATTCCTTTGGGATGGCATTGTTATTCAACAGATGCTCAAACTTACATGAGTTATAACACAGATGTGGCAAGAATGATCAAAATTTCAAACTAAGCTTAATTGTCTCATCACGTCAAAACATAAATTTCTCTCTTGCACGTGAAATAAGCTTAAATTTCTCCTCGGCTTCAATTTGCTGATGAATGTCACTTCGCGATGCTCGATCTGGATGGAACCGAAGCAGGGCTTTCTTATAAGCCGTACGTATCTGGAAAAATCATTTATCATAATGAGAAACAAACGGCACGACAAAGAAAACTTAGGCAATGACGAAGAAGGGGTCAAGGAGGAAAATTTTATACATATGTACAAAAAGATAAAAATGATATATCAATAACCATGTGTAGAGTCACTGGGACAAGAGCCTAGTGGTTCAGCATCTTCCCTGTAGTTTGCAAGTTCAAACTCCAGGATCTTTTACATTGACTATTAAAAATATATAACGCACCAAGAGAAAGCACATTTAAAACAAATGGCATCAAAATGTCGATTTTAAACATCGACATCATTATTATTAGTTCTACTGTATTGACTTATTATACTACCTAATGTGGCTCTACAATATTCACATACTTAGCAATTTAAGGAAACAATAAAATTTTTGGAAGAAAACTAACAAATGAGATAATACGAAATAAGGAGGGAATTTTAAGATCATAAAAGTTGGGTTAAATAGAATTCTTTTTAATACTATGCTTGGTTACCAAAGGGAATCATTTGAAATGGAATTATGCCCCAATTATTGTGAATACCTCAGTAATCCTACTGGCACTGGAACAGTAATTGGATGGGGGCAATGAACGATACCTCATCCCTGTTCCTGCATCCTAAAAATGGAAAACTCTCCAAACTCTACCTTATATATATATATATATATTTCCAATTCTAATCCCTTACTAAAATATATATTAATTAATAATATTAATATGTTACACATTACAAAGCTCAATACATTCAAAGCAAGAACAGGAATATTGGTATCACATTTCCATTTACTTTCCAAAATCCCCTAGTTGCATAACTGGTCCATTCTACAACAATTTGAGTTAAATCTGAGTTAAGAGTTGGGTTTAGAAGTTATCGTAAATTGAACCTATATAGTTTTATATATTACAGTATCGCCTATAACCTTTAGATTGGATTTCAAAACCCACCCTCATTGAGAAAATTTGACAACATATATTAAGGCCTCTAAATTCCCATACAATTTTGATTTAATACATCATTTATTTTTTGTTAAAAAAAGGAAAAAAAGGTTAAGCATTGTGTAAAGGATTTTAAAGAGAATATTTAAGTATAAGGGATTCTAATTAGTGTTGAGCATTTGGTTGGTTTGAGTTTATGTAATCCAAAATTTTCTAAAACCAATATTAACTCTAACTAACTTTAACAGGCAAAGTTTAGGAATTGGATTACCAGAAAAACTGAATAACAAATAATCCGATTACCAAAAATCAGTTCAGTCAGTTTATACATATACATAATTCAACTATTTTGGTTTCTGGATGCAAAAACAAAATAATGTACTGGACCAATGAATTTCATTTAATTCAGTTTGTCCGTTCTATTTAACCAAATAATTTTCACCCCTAATTCCAAGGGCCACTATCGTGTACCCTATTTAACATAAGAGGAAGAATCAAGATCTTGGACCCAAATTTAGTTCTGCCTCCATCATTTCCCATCTCATCCACATAAATAATCCTAAGCACACATCATGTCACATAACTGTAAATTGATTTTTGCATCCAGTTGTGCATCACCTTGCCAGAATGGCAAGCATATGTAAAAGTTTGACATGCATACGAAATTCCCTGCACCCGGGAAAAGTGAAACTTACAATATGATTGAAATAATCATATGTGCTTCTTTTGCAAGTCTTGTGAAATGTGATGGTTCAGGCAGATCAAATTTCAAAAAATTTGGTGCTACATGCATCTCACCTCAGAAGGCAAATCACCTCTAACTTCAATTCCAAGGCCACGAAGAAGTGAAGCCATATCTTGACTGTTAGCTTCCAGTTTATCCAGTTCCCTCCTTATCTCGACCCGAAGCTGCTCCTTCAAGTTCAGAGTTTCTTCATCCTGAAGTTGGTATCATTAATTACACAAGTAGACATTATAGTAAAAGAAAAATTAACCACAACAGAAAACTAAAAGTATTAGTTAAAGTACCAAGAATAGCAACTGATAAATTTGTGAAATTGGACTGATATTAAAATATGTAGTAAATATGTTAGCAGAAGATGTAAAGGGGAGGCAGGAAGCCAAACCTTTTTCTGTGCCTCTCGAACCTCTTCCAGCCGCTGTTTTTGCCTTCTCTCTGTTTCTATTAGACGCAGATTTTCAGCCTTTTTTCTCTTTTTCAAGCGCCGTGCTTCTTCTGCCTGTAAGAGCATAACATTATATTTGTATGGAATACACTCTCTCCATCAGTGATTGGTGTACTAGTTTCTTGATTACAAAACTCAAGCTAAATCCAAGAAATGAGGCAAGTTTAAACTCATCTAACGGCAGATTATTTATTTATTTTTTAAAAGACATTAAGGAATCACAACTCATGGCATCAGAGACCTGAATGTCCACTTCAATTATCCTTGCAATTAAATGTCTGAAACAATCTTATCACAGAATATTGTTACCACCCTTTCACTGTCATATTAAGGCATCTCCATGCATGGTTTTGAAGGATTATTGAGCCAAAATACAGTAGAAAGGGTAAGAGCAAATATACTAGCTGGTTTTCACGTGAACATGGCTATGAACAGGTCCATATACTTTCAACTGAGCTCAGATTGATTATTGTCAGCTTTCAGTACTATTGAAATGCAGCAGACCCACAAAAAATAGAATCCATCAACTTTCAGCCGGAGGAAGTTGGACCAATCAGGGGCAGCAGTTTGATCACTTACATGAACAGTCATAGCTAGAAATACAGAGTAATAGAAGTGTAAAAAAAATAATAACAGTGCTGAAAGGCAGCTATTAGATATATTTCCAAGAAAAAATACCTGAGCTTGTAACTCTCTTTGCCTGGATGCCCATTCTTCTTCTTCAGCACGTCTATAAGCATCAGTTTTCTTGAGCATTTCTCTGTTTCCAACGATAAAGTTTGGGACACCAGATGGACCATCACCATTTGTCTCATTTACAACTTTAGAGCAGCAAACAGAAGATTCTTTATACATCTCCTGCTGAATGGACCTTTCCTTATCTGTGTGCCAACTCTCCCCGTCTGACTTATTAGCAATGACACTTGCATCTTCACCAATATATTTAGATGTGCTTAAGTTATCATTCCTATGATTTCCATTGGATGAACAAGATTTTGGCACGTCAACTGTTTTATCTACATCAATATCATTTCGAGAGTCAATATCAAATCCCACAGGACCAACCTCATTCTGGAAATCAAATTGGCCTCTTGGGAAATTATCAAACCTCTTCTTCCTCAGTGAAGCCTCTTCCCACTGTTGACGAATATTTCCCAGATGATCTTCCTCAATGTCACAATCAGAATCATCATTCTCACATGAAGTATCAGAGGAAGATCTTTTACTGGAGCAGGTAGCCCAGCAATTTGATGTTTTAGAGGAAAGTTTCCTTCCTTGATTACAAGAAGGCCGACATTTGTTACTTGAGGTGAAATAAGAATTTGGATTTCCACTCTCTTCAAGACTATCTGAAGAACTGCCACAATCACCACTTTCATCATCATCAATACAAATGATATTCCTACATGCCGGTGTTTTTTCCTGTCCAGAAACACTAGCATCAGGAGCTATCCCTTCTGAAGTTTCTGGGGCATCAATAATAATTAAATTAGCGATTCTGTCACTATCAATGTCAACAACATTATTATATTTTCCTTTTAACTTGCATCTTTCTAAGGATCTCTTCTGAGAATCAACTCTTCGCTGAGATTGACCCCTCGACATTCTTTCTGATATTAACTAATTTCCTTTACTGCAGACGACAACATACATATATTGCATAATATATGGCAAGTCAACATCAGTTGACAATACTCCTGCCTTGATCGTCCTATGTGATAGTCATTGTGATTAGGATAACTGGTAACACTCCCAACTTTCAGAACATTCCAGCACGTTCTTGTTTGATTTTTGGATAAATTAAAGAAAATTCCACGTTAAAGAATACCAGAAGTTATCAACTTAGAAATGCTTTCACAGACTTGGGTTCAAGTCTCCACCTCAACATGAACAATGCATTTCAATTGTTTACCTAATAGCAGGAAACAGAAACATGAATAAAAAATAAAAATAAAAATAACAACTATCCGTTACACCATCTTAATAACTATTTCTATTGCGAAATATTTCTAAAACATAAATGCCCAAGCCCTTATTAAGACATATCATATACCCTTTACAGCCAATGCATGCAGTTTATAAAGCCTCCAAGCTATTTGAGTATACTTTTCACATGTAAGCGCTGAATTGATTAATAAACTTCAAAAATCGATAAGAAAAGCTGATCAAGCACATTATACATATCTCATTAGTATGTAGTCAATCCCCACCTCTAAAAAATCCAAAACAACGAGAACCATTTTACATAGAAACCAAAGAAATACAGAATCATATTTTTATTTTTCAGTCCACTACTCTGCAGCTTCCAAAATTAGAAAAGTTCACAGAGATTTACAACTAATAATTAGAAATAGCATGCAAATAAATCAAGGACAGTAAAAGAAAGGTCCAAATTGATAATAAAGCTTGTCTAAAAACACAATTAAGATGCCACTCAACACTTCTATTACATAAAGTTCAACATTAACTGGGGAAAGGAAGAAAGACAAGCATATAACATAGTAAAATTAATTTTTAAGACTGAAATGTGCTTGTTAATACAATCTGTCTGTTTCTGACACTCAGTAAACTTTTAATTTGTGAGCAACACTTGTATAGTTATTTCTCTTCTCTAATCTAAGACTTGCATGTATGATTTGGTTTCAGTTCAACTTAGAAACCAATCAAAGAAGCGAAATTTCCAATTGAGACCGAAGAGAAAAATGAAGAAACATACCTTGAAAGAATCGTTGTTCTCCAATTAGGGTTTTATAAGGAATCAAATCGATGAACTGAATTTAATTACGGTTTAAAGGCGACCTTCTCTGAAAAATAAAGCTCTGCGCGTTTTTTGCCTCGCAATTTTCTTCTCTTTTTCGCTCGCTGAAATTGAAATTGTTGATGGTTTCATTTTATACAATTTAAATATTATTTTATTTTCTGGTTTAAAAATGGAAAAAGAAAGTATTTTTATTTGTATCAAAAACCTCGCATCTGTCACGAGTTTGGGGTTAGGGAATGTAGTGCGGCTCCGTCTTATCTCGAAAATATAAATTCATATAAATAAAAATATACTTTTAATTTTTAATTTTTAATAATTTGTTTGTATTATATTCTCTTTTTTTTAATACTTATTCTTTTTTTTTAAAAAAAATAAGATGTAAAATAATTTCCATTAGATATTTAGTTTTAATTGGAATTCTGAATATGGAATACAATGTATGTTTTTCAAATTTAAAAGACAAATTTTAGAGATAATTATATAATAGTATCTGAACTTTTCAAAATTTGACATTTTAATATTTGAAAATTTTCGACTAGTATCTTGCATTTTGATACTAATAGTAATATATCACATCTCCAGACAACCACTCTTGTCATTATCATTGTGACTTTATATGCACATTGCATTATTTCAACATGTACAAAGAAACAAATATCCCTCTTACCGTATAGAGCAAAATTTCCAAGAAAATATCTATGGCTTGTTGCCTCCGTTAATTCACATTCTACTCCTCCGTCTCATTATTGTCAAATCCAAAACACCATAAAAATGACAAATTAGTTAATCACCATAATTGACTACTGGATATATATATAAATCCAAAGCTAAAATAGATTTTTCCATGATAGACAAGACTCTTGCTTGAAATCCAACGACCTAAAAAATGGTCATGATCGTTCAGTATCCATGATTGATCCAACATGTGTGAGGGAAATCATACATAATAAGAGTAATTTTCAAGATTTACTACAAGCGGAGAGTAGTTTGAAAGCAATTTTCTTCATACATAACTTTTCAGCATTATTCATTTCACAGTTTTGAGCATGTTCCAGGTTTTTATAATACACTCCCAAGCAACTATTGTTGAAACTAATCTAATGGCAATTATGATGATAGAGAACTTTAGTTTATTAGTATCACTCATTCTTGCACAGAATTCCATATTCCAATTTCTGAATGCCCATCTTCAGTCGCACAAGCACGAAACATACCAGTTGTATTAAAAGGCATGGTTACTTCTCCCGTGGCGGATACAGCAACCAGCCCAACATTGCCTCTTGGAACACACTCATTAATAACATAAGCTGCTGCTTCTTTGAGAGAAAGACCTTTGTACTCCATAAGAGCAGCCACATCCCTAGCAACAGTACCACGTATAATCTGTTCTCCTTTGCCTGTAACAGAAACTGCACAGAGGTTGTTGGCATATGTCCCTGCACCTATTATGGGTGTATCCCCAATTCTACCCACCATTTTATTTACCAGTCCACCAGTAGAAGTTGCAGCAGCCAAGTTTCCATTCCTATCAACTGCAACACAACCAACAGTTCCAATTTGGCTATCTCCATCAGCAGTTGAACTTTTGGTTTTCTCATCATTTTGAATTGGTTGTGTATAATCAATCTGTGGATGCATAGCAGAAGTTGCACGTTTAAAGAAAAAAAAATCATAATAGTTTAAAATCATGTTGGGCACATGAAGGTACCAAACAACAGGGATATCCCCAGCAAAAAGCATACCTGAACTCTATTCGCTTCTTTTGCCTGATTTAACCTCTCAATATTTTCTGGAGTTATAAATTGACTTGAATCTACTGTCTCAACACCCTGATAAATTTATACTGGTATGCTTTAAAATGGTTGCAGTTAAGATAATAATTTTTAGTAACAAATATTCAGATGCTAAATTGCATAAAAAACTATAACTAGCTAAACCTTTTAGTAATTGTTTAAAACACAAACTTAGAAGAAGGAAACAATATGTTGGGACAGAATAACAAGTAAATGGTAGCTCAGAAAACAAAAGACAAAGAAAATAAGGAATTAGAGCAATTTGTCTCTACTCTCTACAATTTTGCCCAAAAAGAATAAAGGAAGACATCAATTTGGTAGCATTTAATTTTAACCTTCCAATGTTCAGTTGGGACCTGGATCAGAAATCTGACCCAGAATAATAAAAAAACCTGAAATTTTAAAAAATTATATTGTTAATATTATGAGCACAAGGTTCAACACTTCTATCTCCAAAACCAAGAAAAGAAATCATCTACAATTAGGGAACCGCATTGAGAAAAGAAAAGGCAAAACTGAGAAAGAATGCCACCTTATGCAGGTGGAAGATATTGCATAAGCAGAGTAGATCATAACTCACTTGTTCCCTTGCAAAAGTTTCTGCTCCATCAAAAGCAAGATATATATGAGGCGTCTTTTCCATGACCAATCGTGCTAATGATACAGCATTGACAACTGTTGTGAGCCCAGAAACAGCGCCACACTTTTTCGTTTTGCCATCCATAATACAAGCTTCCATCTCAACAGTGCCCGCGGTGGTTAAGACAGATCCCTTTCCAGCATTAAAATTGGGATGGTTTTCCAGTTCCCGGACCTATATAGAAAATATTAGCCCCCAGAAACAGTAGAAAGTGGATAGAAACCAAGAACCCTATTACAATCATCCAAACCAACTGGAAAATATCTCATAAATTCTCAAGATTTACTTAACACCTTCCCAAAGCCAAAGATCCGTGCATTCACACATTCACACTCTCATTATTATACAAGAACAGAAACATCTCATATTAATAAACATCAGAATAGCATGAAATAGAATACAATAGCCCTGATTTGTCTAACAAATAGTCTTCAATATCTACATCTAAAGTAATAACTAATGGAGATGCGAAAAAGACCATGAGGCTTCATTTACATCAAGGACCATGAAGAAGTTCAGCAGGCAAGATAGGACAAAAAAAAAAATAAAAAAAGATATGTAGAAAATGAGATCCTACTCTATTACTGTTTTTCTCTGCTTCTTTCAACAACATAAATAAGTTTGGTTTCTCGGAAAAGTAACCTTAACCTCAGTGCTAATCCAAAGAAGCTCTTAACTCAGAACTGATCATGCAATAGGAAATTAAATTATGAATTATCAATTCAAATTAACAGAAAGGGACTCTTTTTTTAGACAGGATGAACATAGACACCGGCACTGTACGAAGATAATGAGCATATAGTTATGTAAGCTTGAGGGGTATCTAGACACACATACCACAAGTTCGACAACATCGAGAGGATGCTTTTGGGCTTGGAGAGCGGCGACACCGATCTGGAGGCAGTGGCGGAGAGTGGCCTCGCGAGGCAGGCGGCGTTCAGGTGGCATCGAGAATGGTATGTCGCCGGCGCCTCCGTGTAGTGCGATTGCCCACCCCATTTTCTCTCGCTCTGCCTATACAAAACTCTCTGTTATATAATGGAGGGAACAGGTTCTTACGTGCAGTCAACGATCAGTTCCTTCTACAAACGGTAACGGTTACGTCGCCTCGTTTATGCAAAATCTAGAAATTTGTATTTAATTATATTATTATTATTTGCTACAAGTGCCATTAGAATCTGCCTACTAAATCTATTGGTTTTTATATATTTAATTTAATAAGTGATTTGTATAATTTTTTTATAAATTTCAATTAATTTTTTTTATATATGGAAGACGCTGTAGAACAAAATAACATTATGGGTTACGCAGCAAGTCGAATTCGAAACCTCTCTATCCCGTAGGAAGACCATCCAAATCACACCTGACATAATTTCAATTAATTATATGACTATTTTGTTAATTTTGATAATTCAATACAAATATTTAACCTCCATCTATATTTAAACAATACTTTTTTTCAATTATTAGGAGCCTCGATGGACCGAAAGTATATTGTGGGCAACAGGAGTAGCCTCCCTTTACTCACCAAATTGGTGAAAATGTGGAAAAACCAATTAAACTATATATGGTTGGCATCCAAACAATACTTGACATTGGCCAATGATATTATAAAAATATTAATTTACTTTTACATTTAATTAATTATTTATATAAAATATATTTAGATAATAAATATTCAACGTAAAATTTAGCCCAACCTAAATTTTAAATTGTAATCAGTTTAAATTCATAATTCTTAAATTACCTTATGATTTATGAATATCTAAAGTTTATATGATTTTACTAGGTAAAGTCTCATGAAGTTGTGGATCCCTCCGACATGTGGGCCACACACAAGTTTGTAGAAAAAAAAAAGAAAAAAATAAACACGTTTTGTTTTGGCAGTCAAAGAAGGCTGCGGAAGAAAGAAAAAAAAGGAAAAATGAACGTAGGAGAAGGTTTTTCACTAAACAAATCACACAACAGCAGAAGAAAAAAAATGTAGAGAGAGTTATCTAATTTTAAGAAACCCTTCCTAAAACTAGGAGAGAGAAAAATAGTGAAGAAATTATTATGGAGTGTTTTTGGGAAACACTTGGAGTACCACTATTTTTGTATTACTCTCTTGGTGTACCTACTATTTTTAATATTGGAAGAATGATTCGGAGTTTGTCCCGTGGACGTAGCCCTAAACAGTTGAGGGTGAACCACGTAAATTTCTGTGTCCCATTTCTATTTTTTTCCTCAATATTTGGAAAATTATCATTACTTTCACTAATTCATATTAATTCTTTACTAAGTTAAAATTTATCCATATTCTTTATATATAACTATTCCCTTTTACACTCTCAATTAATGCCATATATTTTATAAGAAGATCCGATTGATTACATTTACTAACACAATTCAACATCATCTCATATTTAATAATAACTCCAATGATAATTAACATGAAGTATCAAATCTCATAATAATTACAATTTACAAGATATATAAAGCATTGAAAAATTATAAGAAATATAATATATAACTAGAAAAATTAAGGACCATACTGATGGATATGTAACTAATGCAAATAGTAGCTAATCAAATATATATCTTTATATAAACTATCTAAAATGAAATTAATTACATAAACTTTTAAAAAATAGTATTAGAAATGTATGCTTGAAGATAATTAAAAGACTCCAATGTAGGACTTTCATTATATTAACAATTCCAAATGGACAATGAAATGTAATAATAGAATTCATAAGATTTCTAGTTGTAACTATCATAAAAAGTAAGATAGAAGCGACAATAAGAGAAAAAAAAAAATAAAAAAATAAGTATAAAATATAGTGTTAAAAAATTTAATAAAGTGAAAATATGAAGTAATATCCATATAAAATCTACTTTCAAAATAATTATTTTAGAAACTTTTATAGTGAGTTGATATATCTCATTCTAGCATAATTACTTTAGTATATCAAAAACTTAAAACATAAAATAAAAGTTTGGTTTCTCGGGGAACAAAAAATATAAAAAATGATAAAAAACTCACGGACATTTAATAATACTCACATTAGATTCTATAAAATTTAGATTCTAAGTTGATAAAAATCAACAAAAGTTAAAGAGCTCTTAATACTCTAAGTATAAATACTTGAATACAATATTAGAGACAAATATAAGGAAATAAAATTTAAGATAAATTTATATTGAGATTAATTAATTTTAAGAATTCGAAAGACACAAATTAAAGATCTTCAGGAAAATTTTCAAGACAGAAAAAGGGAATTACCTTTACTTATATTTATATATTTTAGAAATAACAAAGTAGAATAGAATCATATTATAAAGACAAACTAATACCCCAGGACAAACTCTTAACTGTATCCGATAATAAAAACCCGAAAAATGATAATATAAAAAATAGAAAGACAAAATGAAATAAGTTAAATATAAGTAAAAGACTTTTTCTCTTGAGGGGGCTATTCCTTAGAAACCAAACTGAAACGGAATTTAATAGCCCAAACCCTCAAAGTGTAACCCTGAAAGGGAAGAGTTTACCAATCCGATTTTCGTCAAGTGTGTGCGCAAGTGGCTGATTTGGAGACTTGCGAGCGACGGGAGCCCGGGTGTCCCGGGACAAAACACCTGTCACTTCGCCTTGTATTACCGCGCCCCGTAGAAGCCAAGTTTATTTTAGAAAGTGAGAAAGGTATCTTGAAGTCACCGGGTGAGTTACCGAAAATGGCTTAAAGAGGCAGTGAGAAGGGTTAAAAGGGTGATTGGCAAAACCGAAGAAAAATAGGGAGTATGTCTCAGGCCTCACGGTTGCCTCCAGGCCTTTGTTGTGAGTCCGACCCGTATTGCACCTCAAAAGTATCCCACGGTCGACCCAATTTCTTTCCTCCTCCTTGCCTCCCTATGCCCTTTTTCAATTTTTTACTCCTCAACTAACTCCTCCTGTTTAATACTCGAGAAGACCTGGAACAAAATGAAGGAAAAGAGATTCTTAACTCAGTGGGTCCAAAAGTATACTATTTTAATTTAACGTTAAATCCAAATTTCCCCTATCCCTACCAAGGCTAAAAACATTAATTACTAGGTGTACCAGGACTAGGGTTATCACCCGTCCGCCCACTACCGTCTTAAATCGTGAATTTAATTTATATTCTATAAGACAAAATTTAGATTAAATTAATTATATGTATTGTAACTCGGAGACATTAAGGTAAATTTTAAGTTATGACTACAAACCCAAGTGTGTGCAACCCATCTATTGTTACATCTAGCCACCGTATACCTTAAATTGGAGTCCTTTAGCTGAGTGCTACCAGAAGACTCTTTGCTTCCTTAATAACTCCCTCGGAAACTCTTTAAAAATGTGATAAGAAGATGATGTATGTAAGAAAATCAAACTGGATATTATCTAATCTATTTTAGTGAACAAAATTTACACCCCAAAATATAAATTTTTGTGATACTGTAATATTATATGGTGCGCACCGCCCTGCTAAGTGAACCATACTTACAATATATAACAGTTTATAATAGGATATATCAGGGAATAGTTGACAAGTGCCCTTAAAGTCCGAATTACAGGGAATTGGTAAAAATTGCCCGACCACCTCCTTCATTGGTACTAATCTTCCCGTGAAAGGATGGATCAAGATCACCAAATCACAAAAAAATCCCAATGGACCCACTTCTTGAAACAAAGGTAAATTTTAACAAGATGGAAGGATGTAATAATATGACCAATTTTTTATTTTGTTAATATTATTCTCTTAATTAAACCAATTCTGATTATTGTTATACCCACCAACTATTTTAACCCTCCATGCCTAATAAATTTAAAACCCAATACTTTGTTTGTCAACAAATATTAACGGATGCATGAGACCATTTCAGACCGCCATCGAATGAGAGATCCCCGAAAGTTGATGTTTATAACCAGATTTTAGGTGCGTTGCCCCAAAGGATTACCTCGGAATAGCGACTTCTCCCACCGTTAGTCTTTACCCTCACCCCGATAACTTCATCTAGGGTTCGATAGAAAACAACGTCAGTGTGGAATGAAAGAAACCCCCGAATGTTGGTCGGTGTAAACTATATATGGGTTGCGGCCAACTTTATCTCATAACAACTAGACCTTGACCCATGGCCAATCTGATATTAATAAAAATATTAATTTGACTTTTTAGAGGATTTGCCCATTTTAAACTTAATTTTACCTTATAAATATTAGAAATTATTATCAATTCCTAAATGATAAATTTAATACATAACTTTCTCCCAACACGGTAATAAAGAACTTTTCGAGCTATTTTCTTTTTTTTTTGGAGGCCCCCCAAAACGAACGCCCATAAATTTATTTTGTATAAATTAGTAATCCATTTTTTATGAATTCCATTAATTTCTCCTAACAATATACCTTTTTTTTAGCTGATTTATCGTCTTGGAACTATTTATAATTCTCTCTAATATCGGCCATTGAATTTTCATAAAAACCTACTTTTTCTCATTAGCCAGCTACTACATATTATTGTTACAGAGCTTTGTGTCCGGTTATCATTTCCCCGACATGAGTGGGTAGCCCATTCCCCGCGAAGACCATCACCAAAGCTAATGGTTTCTCGGATCCTATGAGTGAAATTAGAGAAAAAAAAATGAGAATAAAAAAAAATAAAAACAAATTCACGCGTCTCTTTTTGATCCATGTCTGAAGGAACCCAGTACCAAAAGAAGAGCCTTGGGAGTATTTTTTCGCGAAAGAAAAGGAAAAATAAAGGCGAGAGCGAGAGAGAGAGAAAAAAATGAACGTAGCGAAAAGCAATGGTAATAACCCTATAACCTACCCTTAATAACCTTTATTTTAATCCAGATGCTTTAACCAAAAGCGAAGCCAAGAAGCAAAGTTTCCAAAAAAAGATAAGACCAGAAATGCTTCAAATGAAAGAGTGAATTAAAGATCTATAAATTATTTAAAAGCCAAATAAACAGTATCACATGAAAGTGAGAGGCTAACCATATCGGCAAAAGCCGAAAAGAAAATTCATTGGACATTGTCAACGTGAAGCAAAATTTTTGAAATTGAATGAAGAAGATGGCTTATCTTTTGGTGTGTGAAAATCCATACCACCCAATTGGATCGAATCAAATTAGCCAAAGGCAGTGTACGTTTCCATGAGCCCACGGCTAAAGTTAATTCCCAACCTTCAATATTTTGCCTTAGCCTAATTAATCCTCCCACTGTCTCAGAGGAGAGATTAAAAACATTAAATCCAAGTAGGTGCTAAACCAAACCATAAACTAATGATTTTGTTAACCAATTAAATTAGGAATAAGAAGAAAAATCGAATTCTCCAGTTTGTCGCCCGCCGCCCAGACCGATAAGCTATTCATACCGGCGAAAGGTTATATCCATTTGAATAAGTTTGTGTTGGCAGAAGGACCGTGTAGTCCCTCACACCATAGATAATCTCTTAAACCATCCCATCAAAATTTTCATAAGAAAGGCAGATTGAGATGGTCAGTGAAACTCAATCTCGTTTATTTCATGAGACTTTGTTGACACACAATTTATCTACTTCTGCTCTTCTCGCCTGTAATGTGATGGTTTTGCATATAACCTTATATTGCCTCCTATAATTGGTATATAAAAGGGAAAGTAACCCATCCACAAATGTGGATAACCATCCAGAAAAGCCGCCATCTTAGAGCCTGATAATGAGAAATGCGTACACGTTCACCTCCAAGCCGAAATACTCAGGTCTAATAGGAGACCCGACCCGACGAAGGTTTTCGCCCCCGAAGGGATCCACCCGCGACCAGAGGGCAAGTCAAAACAATATTAAAAGACCTAGAGGAATTTCCCTCCTGTTTTTAGTGCTTTAAATCTTTGAAAAGGGCAAATAATTAAAATACTTCGTACCCAACGACCGCAAACAACGTGAACAATTCTAAAGCAATTCACTCCGGACCCTGTTTTAACTTTAAGATCCCAGCATATTTATGTTTGGTGTTCTGGTATGTTATCACGCCCATATCCCGGAAATAGAGAAGCCGTTGCATAAGCGAAAATTAAAAGCATGACATTTCAAAGTGGAATGTGTGCTACCAGACTCTCTCACCAATATTAAATAATTATAAAACCAGTACATACAAAATAGAAATTTACTTGGATTTTTAAATGTCGTGATACATTAACAGCATATTTAACCAGTGACCTCCAAGTGTGGGGCCCGAATTCCAAAACGTAATTGTGTATGCTTCAAGGACCCTCCATTTGAGAGCCAAATCCCCACTATAATTTCCACCAAGCCTATTGAAGATAAAAGTACATCAGAGATTCATCATATTGAATTCCAGAACCTTTTTTTACCGTGAGCAGATGTGTACTAAGCCATTTTTTGATTAGTTTCACTATGCAAATAATAAAGTTTAATCCCCTGAGGTGTCTTGCGGAATACTAAGTGATTACTGTTAATTTCACCTATCTTCCGGAATGGTCAAACTATTCACAGGGTTATCTAACCTCAACCTGAAAGTCAAGCATATAGCATCATTGATGATAACACCTAATATAAAGTAGCGCGCATATTAATGATAAGTAGTGGGTATATAAATATCCACATAGATATTAAGACGGAGGTGCGTGAGGGTAACCCAGACTTACAAATGGGATTAAATAATTTTGTAGGTAGCCAAAGTTCTTCATAGGAATTCTAATGAAATCCAGAGCTCATGTTTAAAATCTAGGTCCGGGAGATAACAATTATTTTCTCAACATTTCTAAATGCTCCGAGGAAGAAATATTTGAGAGAAAATCTTGTAACTCTTTCTTAATGAGAGTTAAAAATACCAAATATAAATGACTATCCCACATTGGGTGTGCAAATAGGGTCGCTTAATAAGAAAGCTCATTAGAGAGGCTGTCACATGCGTATCTAAGGGAATTTCTCTGCTCTCGAGATGATTTGAATAAAATAAGGTGAAACCGCTAAAATGAGCCGAATTAAGTAGTTTGTTCTTACTTAACACGCCTAGGCTTGTGCGAGCCATGTAGAATAAACGTTCTTTTTGAGCTTAGCTCATATAAGACCATAGGTCGGTCTATATCTGCACGGAATGGATGAGAATGAAGGAAAGGAAATTACATAATGAATTGGGATTGAAAAAGACTACTAAATGGCACAATAATGTTTCCAGTAATAAAGACCGCTGAAAGAAACTGGAATGAGCTTTCCCACAATGTGCTTTGTAAAGCCCACACAGGAAGCCGTAGATTTGGAAAAAATATTGCTTCGAAGCCTGGAGTATAGGTGTGTTGATTGTGTTTTCATAATAAGTAGACACCCTTTTATGTCCAGCCATCTTCCCTTACCATTACAGAACTCCCCTCGGAAAAAGAGAGACGAGATATTAGGTAAATTGTCCCTTCTAAAAGGTGCTATATAATAGTATATTATCTCTCTCTGGACGTGAGTATCCAATCCACCCAATACACTTTCGGGACAAAGGGAGCCTTAGCTTTGTTTCCGTGGCAAGTCAAGGTTTATAATCAATGAAAGTGAGTTGGTTAGCTCTCGTCCAAACTGAAGGAAAGACGGAGAAGAACAAGAGAGATCAGAAAGCTAAAGATGTGTCCAATGGAACCAATAGCTAAATGATGCTGTGCAATTATCGGGGTCAGCCATAAGACTTTGTTGTTTTGTGGATGGAAACCGAGAAGGCGTTGTTAGTAAAAGAGTGGAGAGTCACATATTTGGCTTTCACCACCGTCCTCCCCGATCCCTTTGCAGGTGTCAAAATCTGGAGAAAGGAAGAGGATTAACCATATTTGTGATTGTTCACTACGATTGAAATGTCTGACAGGCTTGAACCACATCGGGCGACCAAGTTGAAAATAAAAATTCCTTCTCTTCTATTAGGAAAAAAGGAAAAAAACCAAACGTTTATTCCACTGGAAAAAAGTCACACCAACCAACAGAAGAAAAAAAAATATAAAGAGAGAGATTGACTAATTAAAGAAAAGGGTCATATATACCTTAGAATAATCCTACCACATGGGGAGCAGACATGGGATTTTAAAACCAGTTTAAGGAAAAGAAATTAGTTACCTTGAACCGTTAGTGTTTTTGAGAGGGAACAGCATTGGTGAGTACACCCTATTTTGTTTACTCTTTGGTTGTAAGCCTACCCTATTTTTAAAATAGGTTAGGAAAATAAAAGCAAATCTATAATTAGGAATTATTGGAGAGTTTAGTTTATATAATCCGTTCGGCAGAAAATCCGCGTACGAAACCCTAGAATATACCTGCTTCCGCAACGGTGGTAAACCCCCAAACCAACGAAGAGAAAATTACGACGAGTCCATTGGTGCTGTCCGCTCGGAAAGACGTTGCAGAATCGACTTAGTGATGAATAGTAAAATAGTAACTCAAAGGTAATGGTGAACAGTACTATTGGCGTTACGTAGTAAGCCCAGCACTATTCACACATAGTATTATTCACGTGTACAGTTACTATTTATGCATATAGTTACTATTCGAATATACTATCACTATTCATGGTCACTATTCACGTATACTACTGTGTACATATACGGTTTATGTTGGTAATGATTTTCTGCGTAAGTCAAAATGGACAAGCAAAATGATCAGTCTAAATAGTGGGAATTACCATATATGGAGAAATGAGAGATCTCCTTATGGTAATCAAAATACATTTGCATGTGTTTAGTACATTAAGAGAGCACTTCAAAGGTTTAGAATGAAAAACGCTAAAGCGATTAGTTGTCCTCTTACTAATCACTTTAAATTGAGTTCTAAACAGTGTCTTTCTACGGATGGAGAGAAGGAAGAAATGGAAAGAATCCATATGTTTCAGCAGTTGAAAGCTTGATGAATGCCATGCTTTGTACACAGCCAGATATTGCTCACTCAGTTGGAGTAGTGAGTCGATTTCTTTCAAATCCTGGAAAGGAACATTAGATTGCGGTGAAATAGATTTTCAGGATATCCAATCACATTTGCAGGGGAGCCTTGTCGTGGCAGTCAAGATTATAGAAGTGTGTTGCTTTGTCCACAACTGAGGCAAAAGGAGAAGTCCGAACTATGTGTCAGAGCGGTAGAAATGGAGAGTCTCACCATGTCATCTGGAGAGGAAGAATTATTGTGTGTCCCTCCGACATGTGGGCCACACACAAGTTTGAAGAAAAAACAAAAAAGAAAAAAACAAACGTTTTTCACTGAACAAATCACACAACAACAGAAGAAAAAAAAATATAAAGAGAGAGTTATCTAATTTAAAGAAGGGTTTCCTAAAATCAGAGGAGAGAAAAACAGTGAAGAAATTATTATGGAGTGTTTTTGAGAAACACTTGGAGTACCACTATTTTAGTATTACTCTCTTGGTGTACCTACTATTTTTAATAGTGGAAGAATGATTTGGAGTTTATCCCGTGGACGTAACCCTAAACAGTTGAGGGTGAACCACGTAAATTTCTGTATCCTATTTTTATTTTTCTGCTGCGTTAATTTTCTCTTAATTGGTTAAAAAGGCCCAACAAGTGGTATCAGAACGGATGCTCAAAAACTGGTATAAAAGCTGATGCCTAACAGAAGTATCATGAAATTAATCTCTTTTTTTTTTCTTATTTTTTGTGTATTTTCAAAATCAAATGCCCAAAAGGAGAAGAAAATTTTTTTCATCCCACACCGGTGCTCTTTAGCTAAACATGATATGTCCTAAGCCCTAAAAGAAATATGTTCTTAAGTCCACATATGCATTGCCGTTACAAGAAGTGTTTTATACCCTCGATATTGCCTTAACACGCAAATTTACTAGAAATTTTAATAAGTCTAAGGATTTGCTGTGTAACTTTGGCGTAAAAGGAACTCAATAGTCTCTTCCCTTTCTCCTCTGCAACAAAATAGTTAAATAAATACATAAATAATGTCAATCAATTAGGAATCAGGACATTGATCTCTAGGGTCATGAGAAGAGTCATGCATATATTTGAAGTAATCTTTCTCTGCATCCAAAACACCCTGAACAACAAACAGATAAATCAGTTGCTGGAAATGTAAGCGGCAAATGTGTTTTAACTTCTGTAAGTTTGAGGCAGAACCTTAATGATCACAATGGCTGCACCCTTGTGTATCTCCTCATTGAACTCATGACAAGCCAAACTCTGCAACGTGCAGAAAAAACAATTAAATAGTAATCTCATTATGAATAATGCAAATATTAAAATAATGTGAGCAGTGAGACAGACTTGAACACAGCTTGGGCAACCGGTAACTCCAGAGCAATGGCAGGATGTGAGAAGTTCCAAAGCAGCATTCAGAAGTTCTGTGAAATAGGGTTGAATCTATTGCACATGCAAATATCTCTAAATTAGGAGCAAAGAAAGCGATATCTCTATCACTCAACAAGTTTTGAAAAGAAAGCAGCCCTCAAACTTTTGAAATTAAAAGATGTTCTTATATCCCAGGACTATATGCATCAGAAAGAAACTCTCATTGAAAACTGAATTGTGAACATCACAGCAAAGGAAAATCTTAAAATGAAAATTGACAAGTAATTCTAGAAAATTTTTTAGTGTGAAAGGACCACCACAGATGAGACAATGGACCGTCAAAAAATGCTCAAGCCAAATATGTAGCTGCCTCAAAGCAATGAACCTATAAAATTCAAAGCTAACGACATTCTCAAAATTGCATTAATTATCACCATTTTGAAATTTGAGTCAAAAGCATAGCGTTCTTAAGCTTACCACAAAATTTAACCACTCTTCATATTATTCCAATTTAATCATAGTCACCTGCTTTGTGACACCAGTTCCTCCTGGATGCTGATCATATATGAGAATTCTTTCAGGGCAGTAGCGGGTATCATGAGGATTAGGACACTCTGGAGCCAAGTCAGACGAATTGCATCTTATATATCTGTATCCAAAGCATTGTGAAGTGGTCAAGATCACAGCCCCTTACTAGTACATAGAATTGGTATGACTAACAACTTCAAGCTAGTAATAGCATATGCAATATGTTAAAACACCTGAATCCGACAGTTCTATTCAGTGGGTAAGCCTAACACAAAATGTCAAAAGTAGTTGCAGCATTCTCGTGACAGAAACTAAAAATATCTTTTAAGATCATAAACATTGAAGACTTACAAAGGCACTAGTTTAAGAAGAGCATGAGAAGCTGCATGCAGACCCTCCCGGAATGGAAAATCTTTCAGTACCGTATTCTTAACTGATTGAGGAACTTGAATCCAAACTGCCTGTATACAAGAAGATATGCAAAATAGATTATGAGCAAAGAAATAACAATGCCAAGTCATAATTGTTGTATAATACCGGAGTGACAAATCTATTGAATATCATCTTCAACATAGAAGAGCGAAGGACAAAATAGTGACACCTGTGAATCATATGAGTATTTAGGAAGAGAAAGATCAAATTTATCTAAGACGTTGTTGGTCCCTCTTTGTATGCAATAGAAGCCAAACCAAGTAGTTGTAACTTTGCAATGACTTGCTTGAGCTGTTGTTTTTAAGGATTGGTTCTTGGAAACCCTTGCTGGATACGCCTAAACAAATGCAGGAAAAATAGTTTATAGTATTTAACATGATATCATTACATTATGATATGAACATGGAATAGCAACAATCTAATAACTTCATCAACACTCCATTTTTATAGAATTTGGAGCAAATTTCTGAGCTAATGAAAGAACATATGTGTATATATATATATATAACTTTTTTTGACAGGGGAAAGAACACCTTTTTTTGATAGGACAAGGAAAATGTATCGATAAATTCATTACAATTATTATATATGTTTTTGTTTTTCATTTATATTTGGAAGTTTAGAATGCTGCAGTTCTAGTTTCCAACCATAATTATAGTCCACAATTATCTCTAATGAACTCTGTGGTTCAAATTTCCCACTGCAGCTGTAACTCTCAGCAATTGAATATTATGACGGCGTAAAATAAAAATATAAAGTGGAAAAACACCAAGGCAGAGGGATAACTCTCTCATAAAAAATAGTATGCTGAACCTTTACAATTACTAACCATTTGAACAAATTAAAGAAACAGCTTAACATAAGCATGGAAAATTAAGTAGCAAAAATTGTTGAAAAGCAGAAAAGAGAATACGAAAAAGTGAACCTAAAAGACTGACTTACTATATCACCACCGCAGACATGAACATCTGTATAATCACGGGTTTTTGTGTAGTATTTCAAATCTGCTCTACGACACAGAGCAAACTTTTCTGATACATTCAATACCTCCACCAAATATGTCTTCCCTTGGTGCATATAGACTGCACCCTCGTATACCTAAATCAAATGAATTGCATTAAAAAAAATGAAATGAATTGAAGAATAAGCATGTGCAACTAAAAGGTAAAACAGATGGCTGTGAGCTGTCTATAATGAGAAGGGGAAATGCAACTTTTGCCACCTGAAAGAAAGCTTTGCTTTCCTCTATCTCTTCGAGGACCTCATTCCCATTTCTGTCTACAACTCTGTATCTTACAGTCTCTATCGCTCGAATACTAATTCCATGTGATGGAATTTTCTATAAAAAGGAAGTAAAAGAGGAGATTATTAAAAAAGGAAGAAAGAAAATTATTCAAATAAAAGTTTACAGATCAAATTTAAGAAAATTATTCAAATAAAGGTTTACAGATCAAATTTGATATAAGTATTAAATCTAAATGTGAATAAATAAAATACCTCACGGCCAATGTAGCTCCATATTCTAGCAGAAGAATCATGTGACAGATCAGAACTCAGGTATCCCATATTTTTAAGGGTCATTATGGAATAGCTCAAACCAGCGCCAAAATGTTTCTCATCATAAATCACACTCAATGGATGCTCAAAAGCAGCACAGACCAGCTGTTGTTCAAGCACCTAGACAGAGGATTGCATCAAAATAAATGAGAATAAAATTGCTTATACGTGGGATCTCAACATGAAACTAAAATTAAATAAAAAGAAAATGTTGCCGATAGAACTTTAAACCTGCTGATTTTGAGCATCAATATGATTGCACTCAATTGGGCTACTAAAGAGTTTCTTTGGAAATTTCATAAAATACTGATCAAGAGGCCCTTCAAATGCAACATACACAGCAAGAGATGGCTTTTCTCTTCGTCCAGATCTGCCTGCTTGTTGCCATAGGCTGAATGAAAGATAAAAAGGCTCCCAATAAAAAGTTAAAATTAAAACAATGTATCTCATATTCCTGAGAAAAGCATAGGTGATCAAGCATTCTACCTAGCAATACTACCAGGAAAGCCTAAATGCAGAGTGGCATCAATGTGTCCAACATCTATTCCCAACTCAAGCGCGTTGGTTGCAGCAACTCCACACAGCTTTCCACTGAAAAAATCACTCTCTATTTTCCTTCGATCCTGCCATATCAATTGACCAGTGTTACAACTAGTAGCTCGTCACAACTCATGCATATAACCGCAAGAAAAAAAAAAAAAAAAAAAAAAAAAAAATTGACCAGTGTTACAACTAGTTAGCTCCGTCACAACTCAATGCATATAAACCGCAAGAAAAAAAAAAAAAAAAAAAAAAAAAGAAAAACTCACAAAACACAAGGAGAGGTTTTGTGACATGCATCGCTGGTGGCAAGCGAGGGCATGACACATCAAAGAAGAGGTACGTGCTGGTATTATTGGCATTTTATATCAAAGTATCATGATTCATTCAAATCCCATACAACAATTAAAAAGAGCAAAAAAAAAAAAAAAAAAAAAAAAAGAAAACCACAAAACACAAGGAGAGGTTTGTTGACATCATGCTGGTGGCAAGAGAGGCATGAACACATCAAAGAAGAGGTACTGATGGTATTATTGGCATTTATATCAAGTATCATGATTCATTCAAATCCCATACAACAATTAAAAAGAGCAATCATCGTCAAAATAACAAACGAAGATTCTGAAACACTTTTAAGGATTTTTAACTGTATTTTGTAGTTAGTCCATTGTCTTATCAAGGAGAAAAGCAGCAATTGAAAGAAAATAGCTTCCATCTCCTCAAATTACAATGTTAAAATTTTTAAAGTACAGAAGTATGAGGCCCAAAATTAGATCATAATTAAGATAAAAGAAAAGCCAGATCATTTTACTTTGATACAAGGATAAAAATGATTTAGGACAGTATTAACAATTCAGAACTGTAATTCAGGTCAATAGTCAGTTGCAACAATGAGGAGACTACAGGGCAGCAGTCTGAAGTTTCTGCTACTTAAGTAGTAAAATAAAATACTTCAACAAGCCATGTTATGAGATTGATACTGCACTTAGTGTTGCAGACAATGAAATCAAGAATTTTAGGATTATAGTCTAGAAGTATCTACAGTTTCTTTTGGATATTATAGTATATTTCTTGTTCTTTAGAGTCGTATTTATATGTCTATCTAAAGAAATTAGTTGGCTATCCATTAATCCATTTACAAGGGCAATTTTGTAATTTTCAGCTTTTTGCTGGAAAATCTGCCCAGAGCCGTTCGGGAGTCTTTTAGTTTTATTTAGAATCCTAGTTCAAGTACTTATTGCCATGGATAATGGTTTTCCTGTTATTTGTCTTTAGGAGTCCCTCCCTTTAAAAGACTTAGACTAATTTGGAAATTCATTCACATTTAAGTTAAAGGATTACTTTGGATCTATAGTTCAGTTAACGAATATTTCAGCAATTTAATGCTCTTATTGAATTGTGTGATGCAATTCTATCCCTAGTAAGTGTGAAACTTTCGTGATAGGATTGAGTCCTAGACCCTATTAATGCAATGCTAGTAGTTCTATTTTGTTTTGTTTGATCTATCCTTTACTTTCAAAAGAAAGTTCAGATCTGCTAGCCAAACTAACTTTCAAACCCTGATTCTTTATTTCTGCAAACATTAGCCCTAATATCCTAACAGTTCAAGTTTTCCAATGCCATCCTCCATCACTTGGGAAGACGGAAATTCCACCTGAATTTTGGTTTAGTTGCCAAGAGAAAAACACTTTTTGCCAATTCAGGGAACAGTTTCACTGCACAAAAAATGAATTTAGTAGTGTGCCCAAGTCTCTATTGTAAGAAGATTCTAGCGGTCATGATTGTCATTGCCATCATAGTTATGTATAGAGAGCTTGAAGCAACCCTACTGACCTCAGCAGTGTAGCCGGCACGATAAGCACATATTAAATCCACGAGGTGGGGTGCTGTCTTTTGAAGGATCTCACGCCTATCACAGTACAAATTAGGAACATCATTTTCTTTTAGCATCTGATATAAAAACAACAAAAGGTAAAGCCCAAAGGCCATTTAACAGAACAGGTACATGACTCTCAGAGATTCGTTGAAGTCCTGAAAATTATTATGACATACGTATAGGACAAAACAAGCTCAATGAGTTTGCGTGAATTGCAAAAAGCTATGCAACGAAGTCCATGCTGAACCATTTCTGCAAAGAGGTATGAAACTTCTGAAATTGGGCTGGAAAAACAAACAGAACATTAGTTGTTGTAATACTATTCCATAGTCATGACAAATATAAATAGTTCTTCTCAAGTTGTTCAATATGCATCTAACCTTCATATTCTTCAACCAACCTAAAGACAAGAGGAACTTGTGTGGAGCTAAATCTTAACTAATGCAACATATTATGATTCACCGTCATGTTCTGTATTATCATATGTTCTAACTGAAACTTGCTTTCAAAAATAAGAAATGGTAAAGCAAAATTTTAATTGATGCAGCTACAGCGAAAAAGGAAAAACACCACAATCTTCCCACTTAATTGTATTTATATGTCTGGAATTGCCCCATTCCCCTCTGGAAGAGTGATAAGCTCTTACTCTCACATGTTACCAAAATCATATGACTAGCATAGAAAACATGAAGCATTCACATTTGCAGGTCATGTCACATTTGACATAATATAAAGTCCTAGGAAAATTTACTAGAAGTTAGTGCTGCATATAGTACCACTCTACAGCCATCTCCAACATCATATAGACAATGAAAAGGAAGCAACAACATCATCATATACATATAAATGAAACGAAATTTCACCTTGATTTTTTATTTGCAGTCAGACTATCATCTTTATTCGACGCCTGTAATAAGGCAGTTAGAAAACAAACACAATCTCCCCATGCAATTCTTTCATAGTTATTGAGAAAAAGAAGGCCAGCAGTGCACTTACAGTTCCTGGATATGAAAGTGGATTCCAGAGAGCAAAAAGTTTTTGAGAAGAAGGACTCCCATCATTGTTAATAAGCTCCAACGTTGAAAGATTTGCAAGTTCCTGAATGCAAAAAGAATTAGCATCTTATCCTGATAAATTCACTGGAAGGCAATTTTGAACATCTAGAAACACCATTGGCTGTCGGACAAAAGAACATGCAATCTCATGAAGTAAGCCACATATGATCAAGCAAAGCTCTAAACTAGCCAGCTAATACCAAATTAACATCTAATAATAAAATTGGACTCACTATTTGACAGCCAAACTTGCTCATCGAAGAAGAATACAAACCATTTAAGAGCATATGGAGATTACACAAATAATAGAGATTTTAGAGTTCACACAAATAATAAACGTCTAGTTGGTACAGGAATACTCATATGATTTTGCTGCAAAACACTGTTGTACTTGAAGCCAATTCAGTCAAACACAAAAAATGGATATTACTCTTAGCATAAAATGCTCACATAAATTATATGTATGAAGGGAGACCGCCATAAGATTTTGATTAGCATGCAAAAGCATCAAGTGCATGATTAGTATCTCATCTCACCATACAATGCTCACGAGGGTTGGCTGAAGTTGCAGTTGAGAATATAAATGAGGGATCACTTCCATAAACTGCAATTGAAATCAGAGATTGCCTTGTTATTATTATTGTTATCGTTGTCGTTCTTGTGATTAGATGTCCAGGAAAAGTATAATCTAAGTAGGAGGGGGAATGGGGTGGGGGTCCTCTATCTTCTGTAACGACATTCGGAAGTTGTACCATGAGAACATATCCGGCGGAGTCTTCTCAATATAAGAGCAGTATGGCATCCAAATGCTCCTCTATAAGCATGAGCTTCATCAATCACCACAAACCTAATTTACATAAAGCAAACCTCTTGATAATAAATAGAAATGCAAGCAATCAGTGAAAATTACGTTGTAATTTAACGTGTAATCAAACGGAGGTATTGAATTCAAATCCTAACTAAAAAAGCAATAAAACCCTAATTAGCAATTTAATAATAAGCAGTAGTTCAATGATACCTCAGATTTGATAAAATTCGACTGAACTGTCTGTGAAATGGTAAGATTGTCATGTGTAACATATCTGGATTTGTGATCAACTGCACTCCAAATTGAAAAAGATTAAAGAGCACAACTAGGAAACTCACCAAAAAAAGCTTTCATATCCAAGATACGCAAAACCTATAACAATACCAGTCTAGTATTAGCACGCAGCTCTGGCCTTTCCCTCTGAGATGTATCGCCATCATATATGCCAATATTTATGGCAGTGTCAAATCTATTTGTCATAGCTAATAATGCTCTTAGTTGATCTTGAGCTAAGGCCTAGACAAATGAACAGGTTGAATTATCTACATTGCCCCAACATAATCTGAATATATAAAAGAATGCAACTGGTTCTGCAGGACGCAAGAGTCCAAAGCAACTAAAAGACAATGTAGACTTCCAAAAAGCTGTTGCATCATACCTTAGTTGGAAACAAGTATAAAGCACATGAATCCAAATTCTGGGACAATACTTCAAGAACTGGTATATTATAGCAAAGGGACTTCCCACTAGACGTCATTGTTGAGACAACAACATTCTTCCCGGCAAGGGATGCCATGATAGACTCTGCCTGTAAATATTGCAACAGTTGATACCTATAGAGAATTTTTTCCCTTTTTTTTTTTCTTTTTTTTGATTCAAGAAGAAATGCTACAGGACAAACACTATACCTGGTGGCTGTATAATTTAGTGATCCCCATACATTTGAGGGAAGATTTTATGTTATCTGAGAGTTCATGTGGTATTTCTACACATATTGCATTTCTGGCACCAATGTCTTCAACATGCACTATCTGCAACCGTCAAACTTGCAGAATTTAGCAATCAGCAAGCAAAATGTTACTAAGATCTGTTAAAACCATCATTTGTTAATTCCACTAATGCACTGACGGTATCACGTTTTTTAACCTTTTCAAGTGAGACCACTGCCAAAAACATCTGGCAAGTGTTAGACATATTCATATTTCTAGATCCCAAACAGAATCGAAAAGCAAGTCTGCGAGTGTAGAAATTACTTGTCCATTTGCTCCAGTGCCCTCTCTGAGATGTTGAAGCATTTCTGCTGGTAGCAATTTATTTGTGTCCTGGTTTGCTAAGGAGTTGTTAGCTCGTTTCAGAAGCACTGAATTCAGTTCAAAAGATTAAAAAGAATATGCCGTTAGTCAGACACACTTTCTTTTCAGTGGAGTATTCTCCAGTGAGACCTTGCATGGGCCAACACTACTAAATTTGACCTAGCTGCAGATTATACTGGAACTTAATAGTAGTTTGAAGAATAAAAAGATCTAGAAAAATTCCTGCACCATGCCGATCTGAACAAGCTAACTCTCAAAGGAACAAGTCCAGAAAGCATCGTGAGAAAGCCCATCGATGAAACTATTATATTGAGCAACTATCCAATCTTTCTGTTTAGTTACCACCAATAGCACATAGGGAAACTACAAAATCTTAATAACCCTCTTAATCCAGAAAAAAAAGATGGAAAAGGAATTTATTTATTTATCATTATAAGTTAAAAACTGTAACAGTGACTTCTAACTGAAAATTCCATAATAGGATTTTGACTCTACAATATCAAATGAGTTTGGAAAAAAAAATAAAAATAAAAGGAAGCGATGGCATCTTGAGTTTAAATTTCTTTTTTTTTTTTTTCCTGTACAAATGCAGATTAATCAGAAGCACAAGTAAACAATACAACCACTTGATAAATAAACATATTGATATAACCTACCGAACATCGTGTTCGGAATGAATAAGAGCGTGGAGCAATGAACTGGCTTCCTTTTTCCTTTTTTGCTTTATTTCCCCTTGCAGGAACACCACCTTCCTTCACAAATTTGAGTAAATCTTCTAAGGAAAAGTGCATTGTAATTGCATTTCCACTTTTACCCTGTATGATAAAAAAATTGCATTAATCTCAATTATTTAAAGGGTTTGTAGTAATTTCACAGCAGAAATAATAAATGATACTGCAAATATGTCATTCTTGAAATTGCAATCCATCCAATAACAGCATGAATGTGCTTCCAGATGGTCACAAAAGATACAAGATAAATTTTACTATTATGACTTGTTTCATGCAATAAAAAAAATTCTATCAAATCCAAAACTTGAATGCATTCTTCAGAAGCAAAAACTATGTGACATACCTAAACTTAATTCTTAAATCAGAATACATGATATTTCATATTAAAGGCAAAATAAACACCAAATTTCAAGGCTACATTATCCAAAGGAGGAGTTCATATGAGAAATCAAATGCATTCATGGAGCTGACCTGCATTTCATATGAACTTATATCCATCCAACTGTCTTTTTTGTATCCCAAGTTCCCAACAGCTATTAAGCAATTCCAACTATGAAATCACAGACGAACTGATACTATGATATGTAGCATATGTCACTACATATACATGCACTAAAATAGGTCCACATATATCACAACTGACAATCTAATACACATAACATAGGTGCGTACAGGCCCGCAATTGTGCTACTTAGTTTTTTGTGAACATTCATGCACAAACTGATACCAAAAGTATGAGGTAAAGGGCTAAGAAAGATAACAAAGGATTAATTTTTCTAATCAATAGTTCTTTCACAAATATTCAGGATAGACATTTACTATGATAGCTAATAAAATAGTTACCAATTTGACCTAAAATGAAATAATTCAACTCAATTCAATAAATGTTCAGCTAAGGATCTTTTTCTTCCACTCTATAACTCTAGGACTACATTAAAAGGAAAACGCCTCACTTTGTACATGTCGATGAAAATCCTATATATATAGTGACAAATTAAACATTCATCAAACTTTTTCAATAGGCAGAACCAATCAAGCATACCATTAGAAGTCTAGCAGCTGTCCACAGATCAGTTTTAAAGGAGTTTTCACGCTTTCTGATCACGGTAAATATCTTTGATAGAGACATGGCTTTTTGATCTGTGGAATGGGATATGCAAACAATACCATTTGTTCAAAACATGATAAAATTAACATACAGGGATTAGGGTCTTTTTTTTTTTTGGGGGGGGGGGGTTTTAAGGAGTTTTTCACGCTTTCTGATCACGTAATATCTTTTTGATAGAGACATGGCTTTTTTGAATCTGTGGAATGGGATATGCAAACAATACCATTTGTTCAAAACCATGATAAAATTAACATACAGAGGATTAGGGTCCTTTTTTTTTGGGGGGGGGGGGGGGGAGGGAATGTATATGTAATGTTCATTGTACCATTCCTCGATCGGGTTAGAATTTCCTTTCTTTCTTCTGATTCAGAATTGATGATAATAAGGGCATCGGCAGAATTTCCAGGATTTGTTTCATTACTAGTGAAGCTCACTACCTGAAACAGAGAAAGTAAATATGTTAAGCATTCCAGAAAAAGGAAATGTTAAATGCCACTCCCAAGACCAGCATGAGTCACAGAGGCATATTTGACAACAAGGAATGGAGCAAGAATTATTAGATTGTTTACCTATTAAACAAATCAAGACCAAGAGAAGGATTCTCCAGACTAAACAATGAACGAATACGAAATATACTCAGAAACCACTAAATAAAAAAATTCCAAACAGTAGAGGTAGAAATGGTTTAGACCATGATTACCAATCTTATAAGACAATGAATTGATTCAACTTTTATTTAGAAGGAGGGGAGAATTAAAAGGGAGAATTAAAAAGGAGAACCTATCTTGCCTCTATTAAGAAATTGCCATGCACAAAAGATAAACTCCAACTGTTTTGGTGATAATACCCCAAATAAATAAGAACAGAAAGAGAGAAAAACCTTTGGCAAGAATAATCATGTGGAACGCCTTTAACTAAAAAAAAAAAAAAAAAAAAAAAAAAAAAAAAAAAGCATGATGAAATAGCAAAAAAAAAAAAAAAAAAAAAAAAAAGCATGATGAAAATAGCACGTCTAGGTAGATTTTATCTTCTACCATCATGATAATAATAACATCTTTGGAAAGTAACATTCACTGAAAACATGTTAGATTACTCTACAGTGTATGATTGAATTACAGGTCATTGTGACCATCGTTGAGAAGTTAAGTGGGATAGCATAAAGTACTTGCAACCACAACCCCTTATCCATATCCAAAACAATATGGAACTCTCCATCAAAACAACTCAGACAAATGTGGAAAGCCTGATGGCTCAGAAAGCTGACAATAGCGTCACAGAGCACACATTTTCTTCTGGCAATGAAACATTTAACAGTCCACATATGAGAAATCTGCAAACTAGTATGTGAATTTGTTGTGAGCATTTGTATCACGCCTCTTTCACTCTCAAAGAAATAAAAGAAAATCAGGTATTATTTAACTAGCATGTATATCATTGTAAAGCTTGTCAATGAAATACCAATGTCAACCACAAATCAAACTCAAAAAATTCAATGCTCTATGACCTGTCAAATAAATTAGCATAATTCTAAATAACTAGATTGTTCCTCCCACAGTTTGAAGCCAGAATCACAGTTTTTGGGTCACAGTATGTAAGTAATGGCCAGCACCAACATGAATTTTTGAATTATCAGAAAGATAGTTTACATCTGTAACATAGCAAGAATTCACTGAAAAGAGCAGCTTAAACATTTTTGACAGTTAATATGGTACCTAGTAATTGAAAACAAATACAATATTGGGAAAGAAAATAAGCAAAAACTTAACTTATTTAGAAAAGGACCTTTGAAGAAAGTTGAGGAATGCGAGTATCTGCTGGAGAAATGAAATTTTGACTTGAAATTTGACTAAAGGAAATGATAATGAAAGCTAAGAATGTTCTTGTTGTTTACAGGTCAAAAAAACTTATGCTTTACAATGTGAGGACCATAGTGGCTAAATAAACAGCATGATATACTATAAAAACTTGTGCACCATTTTGGGCATCACAGTCAATTTTAAATCCAAGTAATGAAATAGGGTGAAGCATAATAACAGTTTAAGATAACATATCTAGCAGCCATTCCATTAGGCCATGTTTCAAACAACACTCCCATACCAACATCAAAGAATATGAATTAACAAGTTCACATAACTTGGCCAAAAAATAACACTGTGGTTTCCATAGATCTCAATGTATGCATGTGTTTGATTTTGTGTGTCTATATACATGCATATACAACACAAAGCAAGTTTCAAAACAAATCCTAGTATCCAGAAACAGAAAAGGGAATTATGTCTTAGACCATGTCAAATCTCGAGCAAAACCATATACTGCTGCTCATCCCACTACCAATACCATTCCTGATTTAAAAATTTTGGAATCAGCATAGGTTCTTCTACCTTTCCAAAAGTTGAATATGACAAAAACCTGTTTGACCTAATAGCAAGCTTCATAAATCATTTCAAAGAAAGAAGTCTTAAAAATTCAATCAATTACCTTAGAACAAAGAATAGCAATATGCTCTATATCCTCAAAGTCAGCTCCAAACCCAAATTTGCTAAGCTGCTTTAGAGCGTCCTTCAAACGAGTCGAGGTAATTTCTTCCTTCTGCATTTGGAGAAATGCAGAGAAAATATTCAAGAAAGCAAATGCCTTCATAATTCTTTTCAACCATGCCGGACAAAAGCATGAAACCTTGTTGTCACTGTATAATCCTGAATCACTATTAGCCCGATTTCCTAACAAAATACAAGTCCCAAAATGTGGACTTCTCAAGCAATTCAAGGATTCCAAAACCTCAACAAACTTTCTACTATTCTGGTCATCAATAATATTCTTGTTGGAAGACTGCAAAGTACTCCATAAAAAGGCATAAGGTCCTTCTTCTTCATGCTTATCATTATAGTTCTCAAAAACCCTTTTTCGTTTGCACCCAGAATAACTAGCATTTGTATCATTTGATTGGTCAAGAAAAGACGAGAACTCTTGCATCATATCTGAATAAACTGAATCAGCATATGCAGAGTTTAAACTTTGCTTAGGCAAATTTGTTGAAAAATCAGAACTTGGCGTCTGAGGCTTATCTTTCTTGATGAATGGAACCAATACTAACAGTTCACCAGGTTCAGTAGAGCTAATGCGACTCTGCAACCCCAATTTAACTCCCTATACAAGAATTAATAAAGAATTGAATGATTAAGTTAGGTTAATTGAGACAAAAGCAATATTAAAAAAATCAATATTCATAATTTAAACACCATACCGAAAGTGAAATTCAGAAAAAATAAGACTAGAAGAAGTCAATTTGAAAGACCAAGAAACAAAAATATAGAGAGAGAGGACGGTTACCTTGAAGAAGAGGTGAAAATTGGGGGAAGAAGAAGCAGGAGGGAATGTGAGAGTCAATAGAAGCTTGAGGTCGCTAATGGTTTTGTTTGGCCCTATAAAAACCGTTGTGGATTCACCCGTCAGCGTACGCACTTCGATTTCTCTCTCCTCCTCCGCCATTGTTGATCTCTCCCGCTAGCACTGTGTGCTAAACTGTTAGTGAAACTAGTTCAAAAAAAAATAGAAGGGTTTTTATAGTTGTCCCTGTTTGCTGCGGCGGGGAATCGGTTTGGCTCTTGCTCACGTGCTCTCACTTAAGTCACGTGCCTAGAGGAACACTGCGAAAGAAATATTGGAAGACCAAAAATATAGTAAACTAGCAACATCCCGTGCCATGCACGGTTAAAAAAAAGTTAAAAAAACTAAAATTGAGAGAATATATATATATAATTTATAGATTCTTGAATAAAATTTTTTTATTATGTTATTAAAAAATATTATAAAAAATTGAGAAGAATATATATATATAAATTATAGATTCTTGAATAAAATTTTTTATTATGTTATTAAAAAATATTATAAAGTTCATATTAATAGTTAAAAACATATTAGAGTGGATTTTTATTTATTAAAGTAAAAAAAATTAAGTAAATAAACATGTGTTCAGAAATATGGATTGAAAATATTGAAATTTATAAAGATAAATATAAAAAAGTAAATAAAAGGTAGTAAAATTTATAATTTGATTTATTTTAAAATTAAAGTAATTTATAATTAATTCGCTATTTCCATTAAAAATTCATGAATGAATAATTTATTTAAATAAATTTATTAATTTGATTTATTTTAAAATTAAAGTAATTTATAATTAATTCGCTATTTCATTAAAATTCATGAATGAATAATTTATTTTAAATAATTAAAAGTGGTATAGATCTTCAACTTATCATGTTATTAATACTATAATTAATCAATTATATTTAACATAATTTAATTTAATAAAAACTTTTAATTTTTTAATATAAAATAATAACTGTCCATATCATTAAAATTTATAGATTATAAAATTTATTTATATCATTAAAGTTATATAAATTGTTATTTAACATGCTATTAATTCTCTAACATTATATTAATTAATGACATTTAAAACGATTTAATTCAATCATAAATTAATTTATTTTTAAATAAATATAAAAATAAATAATTAAATCATACACATATCATTTATTTGGAATCCTATGTGACCACACCAAAGAAAATTCAGCCTATATATATATACATCATTGATAGTTTACGGCTATAAAAATATGTTAAATAATCTTAAAAAAAGACAAAAAAAATGAGTAAGAATTATTAAACCCATTAGTGAAAATAGTTGAAATGTAGAAAATTCTGAACTTTTAAGAAAAAATGAATAATTTATTTAAAACCAATGATCAATACACCTTTGCAAAAAATACCTTAAGAATAAAGTGACACAATTTATATATATAGTATTAAGAAAACTAAAGTGTTTTTTTGAGAGTAAATAATTTAAAATAAAAAGAATGCATTGTCACACCATTTAAAAAAAAATAAACGAAAACGTTTAGATAGGAAATGTCAAAATACATTAAAGATAGAAAACGGTTGTTAGAGGAAACATTTGTTACTTCATAAATTTGAGACTAAATATTTGTTACAAAACAATACATTAATACATTAATTGAATAATTCATTGCTATTAAACTTTATCATTTTTTAAAAATTAATAATTAATAATAATTACTTAAAGCTATTAGTACATTAAATAACTAAATCAAACCAAACTAAAAATATTAACGAAAAATAAATCCAAATCAAACTAATAAATTAATACATTAAATAATCAAATCAAACCAAATCAAAAATACTAACTCAAAATAAATCCAAAAGCAAACCAATACATTAAATAATCAAATCAAACCAAACTAAAAACACTAATTCAAAATAAATCCAAACCAAATCAATACATTAATACATTAAATAATGAAATCAAATCATGCCAAGTGGAAGCCTAATCAGAGGAATATGCCACGTGTCAAATTAAAAACACATGTCAACTTTCTAGAGAAAAATGACTTGTTTATATATATATATATATATATTGATGTTTGAACACCGCCTATGGTTTTCATTCTTAAGGCTCTGCATTGTTAAGCATGAATCTGTCAGTTCTCATATGGTTTATGTCTTCTTAGACTAACATCATCCAACTGCCAAATTCTATTCTTTGATTAATGTTCTGCCTATTCTGCCATAAGCTTTCTGTCTATTCCTTGCTGATGCAAGATATTGGCCAACCCAGAAGCACCAGGGAATGCTGGTGATGTGGATGAAACTTGGAGGGAAGCAATTAAAATTGTATTTGAGCTACCAAATTGGTTTTTCTTGTAGCACATCTTGATCACAACTTTTTTCTTTTAAAAGCATTTTTTTTTTTTTATCACAAGTTAGTCATTCCTATAAAGGAATTTCTGTTCCCGGTATTATTATACTAAGTCAAACGGAGGTAATATAGTTTTAAGTATGTCAAACCAAAAAACGCTCAAACGATCATGGGAGCCCAACATGATAATTTAAATTAAATTGCTTAAAAATCATTAAAATTTATTATTTTAAATATTAATTTAGACTATTATTTACTAAATAAAATTAAACAGTTTAATGAAAAATTTGATTTGAAAATAATATATAATTATTAATTAAATATATATTTGCTTATTGAACAAATTACAATTACCTCTACAAACAATAATGGTTTGAAAAAATGATTTATTTCATTAAAAAAAAAAAAAAGAAAGTTCAATATCTTTCATAACAACATGAAAATGTTGAATGCATAAAAACTATTTTGTTCACATTGAATTCAATTGATATATGAAGTTAAAATTTTCCATTTTAATAATTTAAGTAATGATCAAATAAGCACTCTGCATATTAATTATTAAAATAATAATACTTTAATTAATTAAATTCATACTCATAGAAAATTAAAACAATGACACGGTTAGTTAGGTGTGTGTTTGTTTTTTTCTCCAGAACAGGTAATCTAACTAATATATTCTAAATTGACTTTTTAAATTTCCATGCATTTTCATCCACCTACTTCTTAGAACAATATGAAACCTTGACAAAAGAATAAAGAAGAAGCATTCTTTCTGGAAGAGAGTACTGAAAAAACCAAAGTCAATTGTCTATTTTTCAAAAAAAAATATATTTTTTTTTCCATGTTTTGGAATAATATTCAAAAAGAATATTTGAATATTATTAATTTTCTAATTCTAACAAGGAAAAATATTTGTTTGTACTAGTGCTACATTTGGTAAGCCCTAATAAAAAGTAATCAAATATATTTATAGTGTAAATTTATGCTGGAAATGCATTTGATTATATTATGTTATATTTCATTACGGCTTATTAAATACAATATATGTATTTATTTCTCATACATTACCCGAGTAATAATTAATTATCATTTAAAAAAATATTACATTTTTCTTAATGAAAAGATATCAAAACTCTTACTCTGGGCCAATTATCATTGTTAAAATTACTTAGGTTGTGTTCATAACTTTTAAGCAGTAAACGTTATTTTTTATAATGTTTGTTAACATAGCGTGTCGACTAGCTTTTAGAGGTTGAGGTAGTGTTTTATAAAAAGTTAACTCATATAATATTTAGCTCGTTTTATGAAAAGTTATTCAACTAGATAATAATTAAATACTATTAAAACAGTTAATAGCTATCAAAATAGTTAATTTTACCGAACATATCTTTAATTTAAATGTTGATTATACAAGCGGGTGCAAGTCTTTCCCCATTCTACAAGGCATTATTACGTACCGATCTTCAACACAATGAACATTCAACACAATGGTAGCTTGCCAAATGCCAAATTAATTCCGGCAAAATTGGACACGTGTCTAAAGGAAGCATATTTTTCTCTTTGAAAAATCTTACAAAGATCGAGTCAAATTAGAAAAATTATGTACTATAGTCTATAAATATGACACTACCTTCACCTTCTTTTCTCCAACTTGCATTCTTAAAACAAACTTCTCTGCACATTCTTGCGTTAGCAATGGCATTAGAAACCAAAATTATGCTTCTGGTTGCACTTCTTTTCTTCTCCCTCAGCCATTCTGAGGCATTAAAGTCCAAAACCAATATCACCCGTCTGCAATTCTACATGCACGATGTTGTCCGTGGCCCGAACGCCACCGCCGTTCGAGTTGCCGGCCGAGCTAACTTCACTAGTCCAAACCCAATTGAAGCTATGTTTGGATCCATTTTCGTGATGGATAATCCATTGACAGTCTCACCCGACCCAAATTCTACAGTCGTAGGACGTGCACAAGGGATATATGCTATGTCCTCCCAACAAAATGAGTTTAGTCTACTCATGACATTGACTTATGCGTTCATTAGTGGACCTTACAATGGTAGCTCATTCAGTGTAGTCGGCCGGAATCCGGTAATGAGTGAGGTGAGAGAGATGCCGGTCGTCGGTGGCACCGGAATTTTCCGGCTTGCTCGAGGATATTGCTTGGCGAAGACACACTCGATGGATCAAATGGATGCAATTATAGGATACAATGTTACCTTGTTACACTATTGAGTTAGAGACATTTTATTTTGAGTAGAAAATTATTGATTTTTATGCTTTAGTTTCCATCATGAGTTAGTTTTTTATTGTAATAAAGTTTCAATTTTTATGTAGCATTTTTGTAATAAAATATATGATTTCCAATAATAATAATTCAACAATAATATGATTTTTTTTTTTTATTTATACAAGATTTCGAATGCTTCAATATTCAATTGTTCCAACGGTCGGTTGATTAATAAGAATATTATTTCTTAGTTATTCATTTAACTAGTGTTAAAACTCCGCGATGCGTGGATCAATATTAAAGGATGAAATAAATTGTTATAACTTCAAAACAATATAATACGAAAATTAGACGGTTAACACAAACATGATACATTTAACTCGCTTAATATCATAAACAGATTAAGTGGATCGTGTTGACCAATATACAACTTGTGTGACTCGCTTGCTTAATATCATAAACAGATTAAGTGGATCGTGTTGACCAATATACAACTTGTGTGACTCGCTTAATATCATAAATAGATTAAGTGGATGTATTGATCTATATACGATCTATTTAACATGCTTATAGTACTTTAACTTTTAACCTATTTAACTCCAATCTTATTTACAAATAAATTCACACGTAAAATGCATAAATTATTTAAAATTCATAATTAAAATAAAAAAGTAATACAATAATAAATTTTAAATAGATTTTAGTCGGAGTATTTATATCTAACACTAAAATTATCTCTTTACTCTTAAATAAACAGGTCGCTCGCCTAACCCGCGACACAACACGTTTATATTCGTTCCATAAATAAGTGACTCATTTATGACACAAACTCATTTAACCTCAACCCTAATCCATTTATTTCGCGTGTTAGGCGAATCGTGTTCACATGTCATGACCCATTTTGACACCCCTAGTATGACCTGCATAAAAAAATGCACACACACTATTAATATATTTTTCAATAGTGATAATAATTTTTTTTCAATAGTGAATAATAATTTTGGAGAAAATTTAAATTAAATAGTGATAATAATTTTGAAAATTTAATTAATTATATTGAAACAAGAAATTAAGTATTTTTTATTTTATATTTATGATTTATTATAAATGATTGTTTTTTGATTTGAAGTATTAATGTATTATACTTATTTAGTGTAATGTGTAATAAGCATGTGGATGCCCTACCTTTTTTAAAAATTATCATATCTCGTATCTTGTGTTTGTGCAATCCAGCTCCTGGTATATGAGACTACTTTATACACTATTAATGTATTTTTCAAAATAGTGATAATAATTTTGAGAATTTAACTAATTATATTAAAATAAGAAATTAAGTATATGTTTATTTTTATTACAAATGATTGTTTATTTATTATCATATCTCATAATCACGTTCTCGTCGTATCTTGGGTCCATTGTGACTGCTGCACCAACTAGCTTTCTGATAGATAAAAAATTACCCCATATGTTAAAGGTAAGCAATTTAAAGTAAAAAGAAACTTAAATATTTGCTTTTATAAGTTTGGGATTATGGGTATATTAATTTAAGTGTCTATTTTAAAATCTCAATTATATTTAAAATAAAAATTTTTAAGAATTTTTATTTTTCGTGTTTTTTTCATTTATTATAAACTATTGTTGTTTACATATGAAGTACACCCCCGCATTTTTATTTTTTGATAACTTTCGGAATTTTTTACTCAAATCCCATAAAAATCTCGATTTTCAACTACATGGAGCAAATATATTTAAACATATAAGATATACAAAAACTGTGAAAGTGCTACAAATTACGGAGCCCAAATAAATTCTCTACCGAAGTCAGGCCCAAGCCAAAATAATAATATCGAAAAGAATATTCTTGTGAATCGTAAAAATGGGGTTTAAAATTTATTAGAGAATTACATACAGAAAAGACCCCAGATAATTTTAATCTATAATGAAGATATATAATAAAATCATTATCCTAAATCATATATATTGTTACTATAAATAATATTTATATATTAGAATGTTAAATGAAGAGAAAATATTATGAAACGAATTAAACGGTTTAAATATAATATTCTGAATCAAGTTGCCCGAGAAAATCAGTTAATTTGTACTGAGAACAAAACACCAATAATCGATTAACCGAGGGAAAAACTTGAAAATCAAGCGAAATTTTGAGAACCCATAATACCACTAAATCTGGACCAAACCGGTTTGAGATCGAACCGGAATGGCTAGACGTTGCTAAGGAAACCGCCTTACTTTTTTTTTTCCTTTCCTTTTTTCTTTCTCCTCTCCTTTCTGTACAGTGCGCGACAGAGCCTCCCCTCACCTCTGCGGCTCCGTTTCCGGCCAGGCCGCTCAGACGAGGAGCGAGATGTGCGATCGTCTCCGCTTAGAGCTCCCTGGTCCGATTTCTCCGACCTCCTTCCCCACTGGCAAGAGTCCCAAGGTGCCACGCGGATAGCCGGGACTGTCTCCCATCGACAATTCTCCTTCTGATCGATCTCCGACGAAGATCAGGGCATAATTCCTTCAGGCAACGTCAACACGAAGGACAGGCGTCTCGATTCGAGTCACCTCGCCACCTTGTGAGTGGTTTATTCTTCCTCCATTAAATTCCAGGCTACAAAGCTTGACAAAGAGCGAAGATCACCCAAATTCAATGGCATAAGTTGGGGCACCAAAGGGCTTATGTGCGGACTAATTTCGAGCCAAAAAATGGAAAGGGCCAAATTCCTCCCACCAACACGACATCGAAATATAACGTGACTCCTCGATTGATAATTTTCTGTAGTGGGTCTCTAGCTGCCCGCCTTTCGTATACAAGGCAATAGCCACGTGACAAAGTGTTTCAAGTTGGTGCGTGGATTAAGAGGGTGTCATTGCTGGGTAAGCCCCAACTTTTTCCGGTGCCACCGTCGATCCCATCAATGAGGAGGCAAACAAGACAACTGGGGCGGCGGCGGAGAGCGGCAGGGTCACATCGGGCCGAGTCGGTCCGGCGAAGTTGTTGGCACCTAGGACCTAGGAATGGTTCCTCGTCTTGACAAGGCATCATGGAATTCTTTCGCTTGAATTTCAATTTGTATTGCTCGTAAGACCAATAAATTTTTCCCTATTTTGGTCTTAAATTCTAAAAACTTAGTGGATCATTAGTCAATTAAATTTGAAATTTGAATGAATTGGATTATTACATATACGAGGCTAGCGTTGAGGGGGAATCGACCTATTTTGATGAACAACAACTAATTGGAATAATTGAAGAAACATTTAGATTAAAAACTAGTTTTAGAGAATTGATATTATATATAATATTAGTATATATATTTAGAAGGGCGAGTCGAAAGAAAGGCTACTAATGAATTAATATATAAATATATCTATATACATTTAATTGGATAAAAAAAAAATACTATGGAGATTAATAATTAATTTGTAATGGCGCAATTTGTTCTTATTGGGCTAGTATAAAATTTAACCAAAGGTTATAAAAAAAAAAATGGTGGACGTATTAAGCTTTAAACAAGACGAAGAAATGAAAAATAATAGTGAAAGTCTAACTTACTATTATAGTTTTATTTGATTATGTAATGTATAAAGCTTTACCACTTTGTGGTAATTAGCTGATACTAGCTTAGTATAATTATATGATGTAAATTAATGATTGTCATTATTCATGAAACATAATTGTTAGTTGAAACTAATGGTTGAGTCGTTCGATACTCGTGGTTTTGGGAGGAGGATTGGAGGGTTGACTAAACTTTGATGATTTGCCCGAATGGATGGGCTGTGTGTGTACTGGATTCGATAAAATTAAATAATACTGTTATCATAACAGGTGGATAGTCCAATTATAAGGGAGGTGCTGCCGGAATTTCGTTAATAGAACTTAGAACTAGTTTTATTAAATAACATATTTAGTAAAAAGTTTATTTAGATTAATGCTATAAGCTAATGCGATAATAAACAGAGTGCTCTAATTATTTATTTATTTTCCTGTATTTTATATCATATTAATTATTATAAGTATTTAATTATTTTCAATTAGTGTACTGTTTGTTCTTATCATTGATTTTATTGTTGTTGTTTGTTCGCGTTAAAGGTAGATTATTTACGCTACTTGTAATTGGCATTTTTGAGAATGAATTGTCCAACTGATCAATATGTCTGCATTTGATTTTGCATGTTTGGATTAATTGTGTTGTTGAAAATGCTGGCTCATTGTTTGTGTGGAGATTGGGAATGAAGTGGACCACCATGGGTTTGTTGACGGTACGGGTCTTTGTTGCTGATATTGGATCCCTGAAATACGATATCGAAATACATATGACCGATATCGGCCGGGGAAAAATGGGGGAGATCGGCGCCCCCTTGTGCACCTTGATGATATTTAGATTTATATGGGGATTTACAGGATGGCTACTTGTTGTTGCGCACCTGATAATCTATATTTGATTGTAGCCCGCAGGAGCCTCCTGTTGTGAGCACTTGATGATCTAGATTTGGATTGGATAATCTAGATTGGATGGAGACCACCGGGTTGCCTCCTGTTGATATGGAAAAGAAACGAGAGACTGGAAAAACAATGAGAGGACTGGTCAGTGAGCATTAGACCAGTTGGCCGTATGGGGGATCGGCTCCCTAGTGCACATGTACGAGAGGGCGAGCCATGTGTGAGGACGGCTCGTTTGGGTTTCAAGTGGTGCCACTGACTAATTACCACTTGCTTGATTACTTGAAAGTGACATTACGTGTGAGTGCTGGTATGTGTAATTTGTGTGACTGGCTGCGTGAGCATATAACTAGTCGGATGACTAGATTGAAATGTTTACATATTTGTGTGACTGCGTGTGTTGTGCAATAATTAGTAGTGTGTTGTTTGGCCTATAATTATTATCCTTAAAATACTCCACGTGTTCTTATTTGAATTATATATCAGGAGAGTAAAGTCTTTTTTCTTTTAAATCCCGGATTAGGGCTTATGTGTCTTCCGCGACAGGAGGAATAGAGAAATTTTTTATTAGGTGCCCTTTAATTATTTTACTATGTAATTTATGTGAATTATAAAAAAGCCAGTGGTATACACCCCAGGATTAGTGACTCCGCAGTTGGTAA